CTTTATGATCTTTATCTTTAATGCAACATTATCACTACGCCAAGAAGGGCTCGTCACCAAGGCGAGTTAGAGAAAGCTTACGATAGGCGTTTCCGATAGAAGACAAAGGTCTTATACTATCAGTAACGTAGGACGAAAGCGAGTTAGAGAAAGCTTACGATAGGCGTTTCCGATAGAAGACAAAGGTCTTGTACTATCGGTAACGTAGGCATAGGCCTAGAGCTATCGTAAGACGAAGAAAGAAGGAGACAGAACCGATAAGTATCGTTCCCCGTCGCCAAGAACTAACTATCAAAGAAGGGATCGTTACAACAGCTATCGACTGGTGATCCTTTCTCTGGGGTTACTGGGCTTGCTGCTCTCGAGGGTTCTGCTGAGACGTGATCTAGGGCGTCGCTGAATCCTCCTAGATTAAGATTTTGATCGTCGATGTCAATATCTCCTTCCCTGTCCGGGTTGAAGGATGCCGTCTTGTATCATTTGGCGTCGCACTAGGTGACGCTTTGTAATATAACGATCCCTTCTTAGATAGTTAGTTCTTGGCGACAGGGAACGATACTTATCGGTTCTGTCTCCTTCTCTTTTCGTCTTATGATAGCTCTAGGCCTATGCCTACGTTACCGATAGTACAAGACCTTTGTCTTCTATTGAAAACGCCTATCGTAAGCTTTCTCTAACTCGCCTTCATAACGAGCCCTTCTTGGCGTAGTGATAACGTTGCAATAAAGATAAAGATCGTAAAGGGGTTTTATATTCGTTAAAGTAATAAGTAGGAAAAGTACTTAGAACAAAGCGTGAAGAACCTATCTTCCTCGGCCGTATCGGCCTCCTTATATAGTATTCTTCCCGCCTGTAGTCATGTGACCTAAAGTGGTCACATGTGCGAAACCAAATCATAACAAACTAATCATGTGACCAAAGTAATCACATGCTCGAAACCCATGACCTTATAGCGAGGTCATGTACAAAAAACTCATAAACCAATCATACCACAATAAACAAGTCATATGACTCGACTGAGTCATATGTGCGAAACCCATGACCTCATAATGAGGTCATGTGCGAAATATAAATCATATGTGCAAGGCTTACCCTCAAGGCTTACTCGCAAGGCATACTTGTCAGGTGTACGTCCCATGACTCATACTTGAGCCATGTGCAAAAGCATCACAAATCCCACACATAACAAATCATATGACCCTAATGAGTCATATGTGTAAAACCATCACGAACCTGTGACTCACAACTATGCGTCACGTGAAAACCTTTTCCTTGCTAAGCCATATTCGTGACAGTTGGACAGTTGCTTTACAAACTGCAGCTCAGTGCTCTCCACTTGTTGGCTTGCAAGAAACTCTGACCTTCTGATCTGGGAAATCGATGGTTGATTCCCCACACCTGATTACAACTTTGTGGTGATTTAGGAATGGCATCCCTATCAAGGCATCATATTTGGCTAAGTTTCTGACTAGCATTTCCTGGGGGGGTAGGATGGCAGAACCAAGTCGAATAGTTGCACTGCAAGTTTTATGACTTGTAGATCGTAATCCCTTCACTGCCATATTGACTAGTATGGGTTGGTTAGGATCTCAAGTTGGGGGTCCATGGACAGAGACAAAGGCATTACTGATCATGTCTCTTCTGATCGCACTAGTGTCGAGTAGGACTCAAGCCTTCTTGCCATTGATTAGAATAGTACCTTCCAGGGCAGTGTGTGCTTTAAATGTTGCCAGTGGTCAGACACTGTTGCACTCCACATCGATATATCCGATATGAATCACCTCATATTCCCTAGATTGGGCATCATCACTATCATTCTCAATATTGTTGGCCGATGCTTCTTGCTTAATCGCCTTTCCTTTTCCTTTCTTCATAGGGCAGCTTTTTGCCATATGTCCTGTTTTTTCACATTCAAAACATTCTCCATTCTGCCATCTTGATTCTTTGAAGGATTTGTTTTTCTTCTTGAAAACCTGTGGGGTATCGTCTTCAGAGTTGCTTGAGGACTTATGTTGTGGTTGGCTATTCCTGCTAGAAGATACCTGTGTCTTGTATGCCTTGGTTTTATGGAGGATGGCGTCCTTTCATTCTGCTCTTACAATTATCATTGCAATATTGTCCTCGTCTTCCTCGAGTAGTTCTACCTCTCGCTGAAGGGTAGGATGCATAGTATCATAGAATTGTCACTTAAGGATGTAGTTGGAAATGCTTCCTTTTTTCATTCAGTCCTTATACATCATTAGATCCATAGCTACATCTGTGATTCTCTTAACATGCGTTCCATTAACTTGTTGGAGCTGGTTGAATTTATTGTATAGGAGGTCATTGGTGATAGAGGATTGGAATCGGCCTTTCAGGTAATCAAGAACTGTAGATCCTCTTAATCTTACATTTCGGCCATAATCCTTATAGTATTAGTAGTATGCGTCAGTTGCCTTTCCTTTGCAGAATGATTGAATGTATAGTCCAGTTGTAGGGTCTTCTACATCTTTCCCTTGCAGGAGAAGATAGTGTGTGAGTTCCGTCGCCCATTGGTTAAAGGCTTCAGGTTTAAGGTCTCTTCCTTCTCCTGTAAACTTTGCTGGGAGGTGGAGTTTAAACTTAGAAGGTTCAAATGTTGTGGGTACTTCCTCTTCTTCAGGCCAAGCCCGAGATTTTCCTCCTCCAGAGGGCCCTCCTCCTGTACTAGCCATGTCTGATTCGCTACTGGATTTGGGGTCAATTGGAGGTTCAAAGGAAGGCTTCTTTGCTGGAGTAGAAGGGAATTTTCCTGGAGGTTGTGTGTCTTCTGTGTTTGCAGGTTCTTCCGGCTCCTTAGCAGAATGCCAGGGTTGTTTCTTTCTTGTAAGGTCTTGTGGTGGGATTTGCTTCCCACTCCTAGTCGTCAATGACTCTATGTTGGTTTTGAGACGAAGCTGAATGTGCCGTGATTCTGCTGCTTCTCTCCACTAGTGTTCTAAGATAGATATCGATAGGTTGATCATGCCTAAATCTGGGAACAGATTGTTAACCACTTGCTGAGGTTAAAAAAATGTAACGTATTCGCAGAGTGCTAATCACATTATCGGTAATAGATATATTAGTTGGCAGGTGGCCTGCTCTTCCAGAGAGGAGGCGAGAGCTGGGAACTAAAGGAGGCTTCGAGGGTGTACTGAGGAACAAAGAAGTAACCGTTCAACCAAGTATATTGAAATACTGTTTGTCGAAGTCTGCCTTTTCTATCGTAGAAACAGGCAGTCTTTAAATACACAAATCTGTTCATGTCTGGCATGAATGAAACTAATCAAAGGTATCAATTGATACACTTTGGTGAAACTAATAAAGTATCAAGGCGATACTTAAAACAAAATATAAAACAAAACTAAGTATTAAACAATACTTAAAACAAACCAAGTATCAAGGCGATACTTAAAACATAATACAAAACAAAACTAAGTATCAAATGATACTTAAAACAAATCAAGTATCAAAGCGATACTTAAAACATAATACAAAACAAAACTAAGTATTAAACGATACTTAAAACAAACCAAGTATCAAAGCGATACTTAAAACAAAACATAAAATAAAATTAATAACCGAGTACCCGTACCGGTTACACCAAGGAGGTTTTACACCATACTGGTCAGAAGTACTTACTATAGAACTTGGATTACAGATTCCCCCATAGATTTGCAGCAATATTTTAGTGTGCCCTCATGTATGGCTATGAAGAGTCTCAGCTCTCATACTACTTTTTCCCTTCTTCAGTAGAGACTCCTGCAGAGAGATGGGCATCAATTATACTCTTATAACAGGACTTTCAAATAGACATCAACTATTACAACTACTTTACTAGCCCTTGGGAACTACATACCATTCTGGTACAAAATGCTCGAAGTGAAAAATGCAATGGAGGAATTGATTAGTATATATACTAAGAGAATGTCTTTTGTTTTAAGATTTTTATTTTTTTATTTTACCAAATAACATTAAAGGAAGTGTTTGATTACTATCTTGAGAATGGGGCTCCTTCTCATACAAAGGACTACAATCTGGCAGAATCTCCAGATTGTAGCTTTAAGAGAATTGCATTGCTCCCTTGTTCTTCAGATCTAAACTCTATCGAGAAGGTCTGGCAACATATTAACAATAGCGTAAAGAGAAGAATTAGTGGAATTATCAGAATGTAGTCATACAGGAGATAGTCATTGATGAGTGGAATCATTTATCTAAAGACTACATTAATAGACAGATATTATCATTTCCCTGACAAATTGCAGCTGTTATAGAGGGAATGGGTGGAAACAAATTCCGTGGCTAGAATTCCTTAGAGCTCTGTATTCATAGCTGCCCTATCCCTCTGTCCCTACAAAAAACCATTCTCAAGTGAAAAACTAATATTGCTTTCAGCTTAAATGTAGGGTCTACGAGTACAAAATGCAAGCTAGGTCAAAGAAGTTGGAGAAGGTGCAAGAGAATACACAGACTTGAGGTATCAGGGAAGGGGCATATGAATAGGGTAAGCTGCAGGGTTTCATAGAGAGGAGGAAAAAAGTAAAACAAGAAAAAAAACTATAATTATGAAGTAGACTGAGAGGAGGACTTTTGCAAAGAAGGCTGAATGGAACGAGATCATTTCTCTCTACATTTTGTCTGTTTGTAGTGTTTTCTTTCTGTTAACTACTGGTATTGTTAAGATCGAATTAAGATTGTCAATCCGGACAAGTGCAGGGGCCTAGTGTTTATCCCCTTTCAGAATTCTCTTCAAGGACCGGTTTCCTGCTAGTCCCTGATTCCGAATACACGATTAAATTACCAGTACAGGTAGACTGAAAGTTCCCAGTGTTCGGGAGGATAAATTTACACTTATATCGTCCACGTTGTATCATAGGAGGCACTAAATTTAATTTAGTACTGTACGAGTACTCGTTCTGAGATTAGTGCCAAGGAATTTCAACTAGGCGGAAGACAACTCGCGTGTTTGGACCTCTCGCTGAACATATCAGCTTCATCTGCACCAACCATCTGTACCTCCACAACTCCCCTCCTTCAATTCCGTGTTTCCATCATCCAGAGCTCAATCTTCCCTGCCCCCACAATGCTGGTTTCACTTACCGTTGGAAAGGTCGATGCCGGCCTAGCCATCCTTCTTACCGAGGAGAAACGACTGGTAGGTTTGACCGCATTTACTAGCGAGCGGGTAGCTCGATTGGCGGAGGGTATTCAGAAAACTGACAAAACCAAGATCGAATTTCCCTCCGTTCTTCTACCTCCCGGAATCGTGTCCGGCTCGATAGTCGACATTCAGATCTCACAGAACACAGAAGCCGAGGATGCAGCAAGAAAGGCCTTCAATGCTCTGCAGGAGGAGATCTACAACCTCTATGGAATCCACTCTCCTTCAAAACCCGTCCTGCGTGTGAGGAATGCCACGCAGACATCTGTTGTGCTCGAGTGGGATCCGGTCCAGCTAGCTACAGCCACTCTCAGAAGTTTGACTCTCTACCGCAATAATTCCAAGGCCGGAGCTATCCCGAACCCAACGACTCACACTTCTACGAAGATCAGCGGACTGGCGCTGGATACCGAATATTCTTTCCATCTCATCTTACGAACTAGCGCAGGTACCTACTCTAGCGAGAAGCTGACTGTAAGAACCCACAAGATGACTGACCTATCGGGTATCACGGTATGCCCTGGCGTCATGCCAGGAGAGACCAGGGAGGAACTCGAAGTGGCACTTCAGAGAATTGGAGCCAAGCCACTTCAGGATTTTGTTAGAATCGACACAACACATTTTGTTTGTACCGAGGGACGCGGCCAGAATTGGGAAAGGGCACAGGAGATGAATATCCCCGTCGTTAGACCAGAATGGCTGCATGCTTGTGAGAAGGAAGGGAGGATTGTGGGAGTTAGGCAGTTCTATCTGGGTGCAGATGTGAGTAGGATGAGGCAGGGGCTCCAGCAACAGGGATCCCGTCCTCAGCAGCATCGGCCCACGCAGAGCATGACGGAAAGCCCGGCTACAACTCCAGTTGCAACCTCGGTTGCCGAGAGACGGGATAGCAGGCACGAAATTCCAACTATAGAGCGAAGAGAGACTAGGCAAGAGAGCCCTACTCCCATTACAAAGCATGAGGAGGAGGGGGAAAAAGATCCAAGGGAGGATGAGGATAGGAGGGGGGGGGCGAAGGAGGATCAGGAGGAAAAGACACCTCTTTCTGAACATAGTGCTGAAGGGGAAGCCTTTGACATTGTGACATTGGATAATGGAAGATCTGCACCTACAGCTCTTGGCCCGGAGACGCCGGTTACAGACACAGGAAAAACTGAGGAAGGATTTGAGGAAGTTCGACTTTAAGATGGAGTTGCCTGACGCCGAGCCATGTATCATAAATTCTATTGCATCAGTTTATTTTCCCTCTTTTTTTCATTTTTTTCATTTCATATCATTGGGTTTGATGGGCCTGGTTTGGTGGGTTTATGGGTATTTTTATTCGAATAGATGAAACCGTGGACCTTGGAGACTACAGTAGTTGGGTCTAAAAAAAAGATCGGTAATGGAAATTTGTTCCTATGAAAGATGATGTCTCTAGCTAGTTATGATAACTAGCCAATTATTGGTAGTAGTTCATTTGTATCGCAAGCTGAAGCTATCATAATAACTTGGAAGCTCAGTAGCATTCAAACCCCGATATCAAGCTTTCCCCTTCCCCCAGAACTATGATAGCGACTCGAGTGCTCCCGTTGGGTAGTCTACCTCGACTATTGATAGAGGGGTGTATTTATATCCTGTTTAACACTACAAAAAGAAATCCAGAGAGGAAATTAGAGAACCCATATTTCCCATTTTTTGAATTATACAACGCCCGGCTACTAGCAGTGAAAAAAGACATCCCCTTCCACCACCGGGCTTACTGAGCGAAACGGGCCCAGATCCCACGCAGGGACGAAAAAAAAAGGGAGATATCCCATGTTCACCAGGAGAATTTATTTGGTTTCCGCAACAAAACAAGCTCCAACCCATGACTGAGAAAGAAAAGCCTCCACCACAAACACCTTAAGCCTTCGCAGCTGCCTTTCTGACTTCAAACCTCCTCTGCTTCCTGAGAACCAAGACACGGAATCTGTCGAAGTCGCTCAGGTTTCTTCTGGTCTCTTTGGAGGTGATTTTCTTGGCCCAGGAGGACTCAGCCCATTTAGTGTCTACGGCGCAATTCTCCCAAAGCTTCTTGACAACGCCGTTACGGGCACCACGGGGTAGGTTGTCGATGACTATAGGAGTCAAGGTGACGTTCTTTAGGGAGTAAGACTGGCGGGGGACGATGGGGGAGTCGATGAGGACCTATTGAAATTTTGGAGACGGTCAGAACTCCCCCGAAAAATATTTGATGTGATTGGAAAAATATGTGCAGGGAACATACACGCTTGTGATCGATTATCTCAACGATGGTAGCCAGCTTTCCACTATATGGGCCCTTGCTAAGGAGAACAACACGGCCGACCTCGACGAGGCTGGGTTTTGTCCAATTCACCACAATCAGCATTTCCATATCTTGAAAAATTACCCTCCCCCTCTCCCTCCCCCGTAGTTGATTCCGTGCGGGGTTTTATATCTTTTGGTCGGGAGTTGTAAGGGAGTGGAACATACCGCCATTGGGTGGTCTTAACATCGCAACTCATTTCGGATATTTCCTCGAGGCAGATAGGCTGTTGGTGGTGCTGGTGGTGCTGGTGATGAAGGTCGACTTGGTTGTGAGGCGTCTTAGTTGTTGAATCTAGAGATTTTGCTAGAGCTAGAAATTCCGAGTGTCATGTTGCTACGGGGGTTTTCGTGGGTGTGGTGGAGTGACAGCTTTTGGTTCTTTTAGGGTTTCGACCTGATTTCTGTTTTAGTCTAAGGGAAGGCCATAGCAACACCATCGACTTCTTCATCTCCCATGATTTTTTTTCTTCTTTACTTCTTCCCTTTCCCCCTGGTATTCTCAGCGAAACAACCATCCGCAACTATAACAGCTCGTCTTCCTTCTTATTTTCCCTCCGGCACGTCCACATCCTAGTATACTTACTAGTATGTTTATCCCACGCAGTTGCTTTCCGCCCCTCCCGTTCCTATCTATTCGCATGATGAAATAATTTGCGATTGAGTGTCTTTGTTCGCGATTCCACGCCTGGTTTCATTATGCGACGTTGATGCAACTGATATCTTTCTTACATATTCTGACTTTTTCATCACCCTTCTCTCCAAATCCCCGTTCCTCGCCAATTCTTTATGGAAACACACTAAACATTCAGTTTCCCCAGACTTGAAGAAATCGAATTCGCAATAGCTTTCCCAACCTCAACATCAACCACCAGCCCACAGGTTTCTTGTCTGGGTGTGTATTTCTCTGCTCTCTGGATTTTCCCGCCCGCATTCCTACCTCCCCCTCTTCTGTCCAATGATTATACTCTATGCACATAGATAGTATGCGATCCTTCGGGAGATGCGCTTCACCTTTTACACCAAGATCACTGAGGACTGTTTCCTTTACCGCATCTCTTCTCTTCATGGGACTTTCAAAATGTCGAGCTCGACTGACTTCTTGGGGCCTTAGATTTCGGAGTAGTTGAGTATGACATCAATTGCTTTGGGCCACAGGGCACCACCCGACTCCCCAAATCCTCTAAAGATATTTACCTTGCTTAGATAGTCAATATATTATATACCCACCCCATTCTTGGATCTTGTAATTATGTGTCTTGTGTCTCTTTAATACAAATCTTATATTTCCCACCATTGTTCCCAGATCTTAGGTGCTACAAGAAGTATGTAAGGGAATGCCCACGTCTTGCCAAGCCCACTTTAGGCTCATCGCGTCTTCCTACCAGCGCGTCGATAAGATACCCTGCAAGGTACCACTTTTAGTGACATTATTGCCTTTCTCACCAGCAACATTCGATGATGTCTACTCCAACCTCGTCACAACCTAAAGTCTCCCTTTCACTTGTGAGTATGCTACGCTCAGGAGTAGCTGTTTTAGTATTAACATCGTTAGGCTTACCAACAGGATCTATTTGAAGAAGTCTGCGAGCAGGACCAGCTTGTCATCCTTGCTAGAGGTCTCGGCCTGTTACACATCGTCACAAGTCTGCTACATAAATATGACGCGGTTGGGAACAACCTTGTGTTGTTGATTGGTGCAGATGATAGAGAGAATGGATGGCTCGGAGAAGGTTTGTTCGTCACTCGATAGGAACCAGATGTATGGGAACTAAGAGGCCTATAGCTCTCGCTGAACATGCGGTAAGATCGGGAACCCCGGAGGCGAGGGGCTTAAAAATTATAAATACCGAAGTTGCAAGTGTTTCTGCGAGGTATGCTGGGTGGAACTGGAAGATAATGGTTGAAATGTGCTGATTTGCTAGAGCGGAGATGTACAAGCAGGGCGGCATATTCTCGGTCACCTCAAGAATTCTGGTAACGGATATGCTGACGGATTTGATGGACTGCCCGAAGATATCTGGAGTGGTAGTCCTTCATTCTGAAAGGTTGGCTCCCAATTTCCCTGTCTACCAAGTGAACGGAAGATAACAACCCGTAAGGGTCATTGCGACTTCTACCGAAGCTTTCATTCTTCGAATATACAGGCAGAAGAATCAAGAAGGGTTTCTCAAAGCTTTCTCAGATAATCCAGAGCCTTTCACAACTGGTTTCGCCCCTTTAGCTACTATGATGCGGAACTTATTCTTGCGATCACCCTCACTATGGCCGAGGTTCCATGTAACGGTTGCGAGATCGTTGGAAACTAAGAAGGCGGAGGTGGTAGAGCTTGAGGTCGCAATGACTGACTCAATGCGAGAAATTCAGACTGCGGTTTTGGAGTGCATTGAGACTTCAATTAGCGAGCTGAGGAAGTCGAACAGTTCTCTCGAGCTGGACGACTGGACTGTTGATAGTGCGCTCCATAAATCTTTTGATGTTGTTGTACGGCGGCAGTTAGATCCCGTATGGCATCGGATTAGCTGGAAGACTAAACAGATCGTCAATGACTTGACCGTTCTCAGGAGGATACTACAGTATTTTACCCTGTTTTTCCTTAGCCTGATGGATTCAAATGCTGACTATAGAGAAGCTGTCTTTTGACATACGACTGTGTGACTTTTTACCAGTATTTGGAAACAATTCTCGCCACGCATGCGCCTCCACCAGGCTCGACCCGCTCGTCTCAATCGCCTTGGCTGTTCCTTGACGCTGCACATACGATATTCACTCTTGCAAAACGGAGAGTTTACACGGGGAAAGCAGACCTAAGTAAGAAGGCCTCAGGGAAAGTACCGCACGGGCTTGAGCCGGTATTGGAGGAGCTTCCAAAATGGGACATGCTTGCAGAGGTGCTTGACGAAATCGAAAAAGATGGCTATTTTAATCCGGCATTTAGCCAGTCTTCCAGAAGCACACTGATAATGTGTAGTGACGAAAGTACCTGTAGACAGATACGCGAGTTCCTTCAAACTATGCATGAGACACCCTTGGAAGACCTTATAAACCAGGATGACGAGCTGGAGGGGAAACCCAACCGAGCTTCTGCAGCGTATATGATGCGGCGGAAGCTGCGAGCATATTTTGCTTGGAAGCCAGATTTTGCAAAGCTTAGTGCTCTGCTATATGCCGGGGAACAGAAGAACCAGGGCCAAGGCCAGGGAACCTTTGGTGGTCCAACGAACAAGATACCCAGCAACGAGAGCTTTCGAGGTCGAGCTCCGCCACCAAACAAACGACGAAGAGTTCGTGGAGGTGCAGCAGCAGCAGCTAGTGGGCCGAATCGTCAAAATGCGGGGGCGGTTCAGGTAACAGAAGAGCAATCTGCACAGGTGGCCGCTTTGCTTGCCGGTGTTCAGCCGACGGAAGGAGAGCAGAATTTGAAGCAGGAAATCGGAGTAGATTCCTTTGAGAACATGGAAGACTATTATGAGTTTTATGAAATGGGCGATCTCACTGTGGTCCACCCCTATGATGGGGATATGGATGAGCGTTTGTTGGGTGAGCTTCATCCTAGATACGTTATCATGTACGAGCCCGATCCCGCTTTCATCCGGAGGGTAGAGGTGAGATATATCCGAACTATACAAACCTCGGATGAAAGGCCTGATGCAGGTTTATAGGTCTACCGTAGTTCACACAAAGACCGGGAGGTTAGGGTATACTTCCTCTACTACGGTAAGTCCGTGGAAGAGCAAAGATATTTGAGCGCTGTACGGAGAGAAAAGGATTCGTTCACCAAGTTGGTCCACGAAAAAGGAGTATGTTATGCACATGACCCATCGTTTATACAAACCTAATAACCTCTCCAGAGCATGAGTGTCACCCTCACCTTGGATGCGAAAGCCATCGAGGACCCACAGGAGGCTTTCCTTAGGACAGTAAACACTAGGATAGCTGGGGGCGGCCGCATAACGGCGACTGCTGTTCCTCCAAGGGTGTGTGCAGGGCTGCGTGGTGTAATGGTTGCCGAATTCCCTAACATACTCAGGTAATTGTCGATATACGAGAGTTTCGTAGTTCGCTACCATCTCTATTGCACGGGAGAAATGTTGAGGTCGTTCCTTGCACTTTGACTGTCGGCGATTACATTCTCTCTCCGGACATATGCGTTGAAAGAAAGTCGGTCAAGGATTTAATATCTTCATTTAAGGATGGGAGGCTTTACACCCAGTGCGAGAACATGCTACTATATTACAAGAACCCCATGGTGCTCATTGAGTTTGACCAAAATAAATCATTCAACCTGGAGGTATGTTGTCTGTATTCAGTATTGGACAAGATGAACAGTTATGGTATTGACAGAACTATGCAGCCCTTTGCGGATCTCACGGGAAGTATCAGCCAGCATGATCTCCAGGCAAAACTAGTGCTACTAACTATAGCCTTCCCCAAAGTTAAACTAATCTGGTCCTCAAGTCCCTACCAAACAGCGGAGATCTTTGAGGAATTGAAGAGAAATCAAGGGGAGCCAGACCCACTAGAAGCGATCAAACTTGGTCTAGAGCCCGGCGAAGAAATCGCTGGCGTCTACAACCAAACACCCCAGGTATTCCTAAACTCTTACTCGTAATAAATATGGGACTAAAGGGTGGATAGGAAATCCTGCGATCAATACCCGGGATCAACCCTAAGAATATCAAAACCGTCATGTCAGAGGTGGAGAACCTGGTCGAGCTCAGTAATATGGAGGAGAAAGATATATCTGATTTGATCGGAAAAGAGGCCGGAAAGCAGGTTTACGAGTTTTTCAATAGGTCAGCGTTTTCTTGAGGGGTGGATATTATCTTGGGGTCTTTGAACGTAATTAGGTGAATCAATAAAATATGCCCTGAGTCATTTGAAATCTCGCAATAAATAATACGGCGCCACAAGTTCGCGATGGCTACTGAAAGGATCTCGCTGCTCGACCCATCGCGGTGGATCTTAGGTGGGTGGTTCGGCGATGTATCATAGCGGATCACTCGCACAGTACCTGAAACAATGCCAGGACGCTTCCAGGGCAAATAAACGTGTGGAAGCAACACACCGCGGGTGAGGCCCTTAAGATTCACGATCTTCCCCGTTTATCACCTGCTAATCACCAGTATGATACATACCAATCCACTCCCGGAGGTGCAACCCTTAATTGACCACCCTTGTGTGACCACTTCCACCAAGTCCGCGCGTACACGCCATACTGTACCACAAGCCAGCCCCAAAACAGCAATAAAAATATTACGGAACTATCTGTCCAATTCTCGGAATTCAGCTTTCGTCACCACCATTTACTACCGGTTTCCCGCACAACCTTCCCTGAAACCCCCCCCGCCGTAACGGGCCATCTGTCTCTTCCGCACCCCGAGCTAATACCGTAACCGAGAATCACAAAGTCCAAGAGTTTGACATAACGAGAGCAGGAGAGAAGGTACCGCTATGCAACGGGGCAATTATCCTCCAAATACCGCTGCCTCTCCTCCCCTCCACCACCCAGTCCCTCAACACCACGTCCCGATTCCAGTGATGCACTCCCCGCCGCCGCTGCAAGCTTCGAGTGCTTATGGGAACGCATACGCACCGGCCCCCGCAGTGGGGCATCCTGCATATGGCTTCCTTAACGATCCAACGACGCAGATGGCCTTCCAGGTTGGTGGACGAGCGACGGAGGTGGCGGGGCAGTACGTCGAGCAGAACGTAGGCGGTCTTTTCACCCTACTTGAATCCGTTTTCGAGGACTAATGAAGGAAGTAGTTGGGCAAATACTTGCAAGTCAGCGCGTTAAAGCATTACTTCAATGTTTCAAACGGGTACGTCTTGCAGAAGTTAGGCTTGGTGCTGTTTCCGTGGCGGCATAAACCTTGGTCCAGGAGCGGATCGCAGAGGACCGGTGCGAGTGGGCAGACAGAGGGGTACTTTTTGCCGCCGAGGGAGGACATTAATTCGCCGGATATGTATATTCCAGGCATGCCCCTCGTCGTTCATGCTTAGTTGATTGATTGTGCTAACGTCCAGTAGTAATGGCATTCGTAACATACATCCTCTTATCAACCCTCCTCTACGGTCTTGCTGGAAGGTTCAACCCGGAGCAACTTGGCTACACCGCCTCGTTCGCGTTCACAATTGTCATCTTGGAGATTATAATTATCAAGATCGGGTGTTATCTATTGAACATCAATAACGACAGTCAGTTGCTTGACTTGGTCGCATATTCGGGCTACAAGTTTGTGGGGATAATTGTCACCTTGACGATTACGACGCTAGGGTCAAAGTGGTTGGAGTACTTGGTTTTCGGCTATGCCTTCAATGCAAATGCTTTCTTCTTGGTATGTCCTACTTACTAGCGGCTTGCGGCAGGAGAGTATAAAAGTGCTAAATGCTTATCAATTGTGACCCACAGCTTCGAAGCTTGAAATACGTCCTGCTACCAGACACCACAACAGATAACCCCCGGAGCACCACCTATGCTGTCAACCGCACGCAGAGGAACCGGAGAACACAATTCTTATTCCTATACAGCTACCTTGTCCAATTAATCTTCATGTGGTCACTCTCCTCGGGCTTCAACTTTTGTAGTGCTACCGCCGCTTGATACAGATAGGGGAAGTACCCATCCTTCCTTCATCACCTTTCTATCGAAAGTCAAGTTTTCCAGTAAAACTGGACAGGGTTTTCATGTCTTTTCTGGGTGTGCCCGTATTTTCCTCCTCTTCGCTGTAGATATGTTTATCTTTTATCCAAAGCTATGCCTGTACAAACCGAAACCGGGGATGGGAAGGGAGGGAGGAATCGAAAAAAAGATCAAACACAAACAAACTAAAGGGCGATAGATACCCCTTCCCCCATTCTTTTGAAACTTTGTGAATTCCTCAAAGTATACCATATCTGCTAAGTAATAATTTTGGCCTGTAAAAGTTAAAACCTGATCGTTGGCCGTCAATGATAAATGTTTTTTTTTGTCTGGCTGCTCGCCCCGCACGTCCATCCGATGGATATAAAATCACAGTCTAGCAGTTATACAGGTTGATCCTGTATCCATCGTCAAGCACAGCACAATACTCGAGTGGCTGAAGCTAAGCAAACAATCAATTAAAGTCAAATCCAAATTGGGTAAAACAGCGCAACTGGTCTACAGTAAAGTGTAGACTAGAGTAATCGCAATGCATCTCTCGACTTGCCCACATTGCACTTGTACGATTTCGCCGAATCATCTGAGATCACTCGACAAATGGGGAAATAGTAGCGCTCCGGGTTTCATGATATCAAGAGGTTGCTGTCCGAGGGGATTCTAGGGTCAGGGCTAAACCGAAGGCTCGAAATGCGTCTTTCCACAGATCGAAGCCTACCCCCCCCCCCGCGTGAAGACTGTATGATACCATGTAACCTTCGCGTGGAAGGGGGGCCTGAGATGCCTCTTATCCCTTGTCCCTGACAATAGAACTCCATCTTGGCCCTCCTTATGATACAATGATTACTACAACCCTCTTTCTCTCCTCTCCTTCCTATCCACGGCCATCCATCTTGCAACTATCTAGCTGCCGATTCTACCACAACACTCTAGGTATGATACTTCTTCAAGTGATTGGAGTGCAACCCTTATCCCGCGTTGTACAGGGCCGAGCTATAACTCCTCAATTCCATCCTACATTACCTATCGGCCGTCCAGTGGGTTGCGTGCGGGGGCCCGGATGCGAAAAACAGCCGGATTTCCAAATCCCCCACCAAATGTTACGAACAAGGGATAAATAAAAGGGTACTAAAGAACCAGGAGCGAAAGACTTAACTGGAAAGCGGAATTTAAGTCACCTTGGCATTCTACCCCCCGAACCGGCCCTGAAAAGGCTCAAACACATCAGACCGGGTATCTCAGGCCCCTTTTCCCTACCCATACTTTACCTTTTTTTCTTCCCCTCCCACATCTACTTACTACCCCCGAACCCGTCCGGTAATCGCGAAGATCCAACTATCATAGCAGCAGGAGAAGTTGAGGTGGCCGGTATCACTTCAAGTTGTGGTTACTGGCAGGGTGTTGAAAACGGGGAATGATTAGACCGGAGGTTGCACGGAATCGAGAGGGGGAAAGGGGTTCAGATAAAAAGAGAGTATTGACATAAGGAGAGGAGAGGTTTGTCGATTGTTCAATGAGGTGAGAGAAGATCAGAAGTAAAGTGCGGGAAAGGGGGGAAATATAAAGAAAGATTTTCCATGCTAGTGCATGGAACTGGCGTGTCCTGGTATGATACGTACGTACTCGTGCGGATATATATCTCCAACAACTTGGGTCTCGGCGGCTGCGAGTCATTTTTGATGTTGCGCTCACCCCCCCTGGAGAAGCTACCCTCACGACACCCAACATCGGCGGATATCTATCATAAACCCGCAACAACGGCACCTGTGAATGAATAGAACTTTTAAAAACTCTAGGGATTCGGCGGGTAGGAGTGTACCTCGAAAAAATTGACTTTTGAGCTCAAAGCTAGGTGCACAGTACCCGCCAAAGTTGGTCTGCTCCCGAGGTACAGTATAGAGTAGGCACAGCAGTCACTCTCCTGGGTAGCCTGACGATATATAGGAGAATTATGTCGAAAACTATTGCTCATCAATCAAACACTCGTAGAAACTATTGTCTCTGGTACTTTTGAGGGTAGTATAGTTTTTGTGGGTGGGGTGTGGTCGAGCAGTTCGTGCTGGGTAAGTTTCCCTCACTACATGTAGGTTAGCCCAATCTGCAATACGCGTGATTACTGGATGTTTTTGAGCAACTCCTAATCTACAATCATATTTTTTGGACTTTTGCATGTTCATTTATGCAAAATATATAGTTATGGTAAAATTCCTTCCCCTTTGCCTTGCTTGTTACTGGTGCTAGAATAACTACGTATGGAGGGGACGTATATGAGTGAGAGATAGAGATAGAAGCAATGATAGTGAAGAGATAGAAAGAAAGAAAGAAACCCATATGTCCCAAACAGTAAGTACTCCAGAACACCGAGCGTGAAAAAAAGAGGAAAAGAAGAAACAGCGCAACATGATACAGCTCGGCGGGTGTTGGTCTTTCTGATTGAGCTTCCGACCAAACACTCCCACCTACTCTATAGAAGAAAAACAACACATTTATTCATATTTTTGGATCACCACGGTTCATAGTCATCATCGTTATACGGTGGTGTCAGTCCCCACACTGCCTTCATCCTCCGTCCGTTCGTCAGCATCTTCCCTATACCCGCCAGTGAGGGTGGCAGTGGTAGCAGTAGTTGATCTCCTGCTCCTCCCGGCGTCCCCCTCCTCGCGAAGTGTAGATGGTAGGTTGGGCGGTGTGACGTCTGAGTGTGCCGAGTCGGTTCTGGTTGCCCAGCCAGCGCTACTGGCGGATGGCGAGAAGGGTGGTATTCCGGCTCTCCCGGCTCCTCTACCGAGGCCGCCGCCATTTCCATTGCCGTCTAATCCTGGATTCGAGAAGCCGCCGGAGAATATACTCCCGGCGTCATCGTCATCGTAGCCGTCAAAGTCACCATGGTGGGATAGGGCGCCTGTCAGGCTTTGGTATTTTCCATCCGTGGCGCTGGCGCCGGCTGCAGTGGTGACGCTACCGCCCCCGCCGCCATAGCCGTCGTCTATGGAGCCGGGCCGACTCATACCTGGGCCGTGTGGACTTGGCAGGATGCTCTGGCTCGGTAGGATAGAGAAGATCTCGCCTTCGCCGTTGACGCCTCCGCTGGACTCGTGCGCAAATGGATCTGCGGAGCGGGATATCAGGTCGTCCAGACCGCCGGAGGAATCCCAGCCCTTCTGCGCGATTTTTTCGAAGATCTCAATCTCCGCGCGGACTACTAGCGCCGAGGAGTCCAGTATCCGAGTGGAGGTCTCCTGCGAGAGAGCCAGTGCTTCCCGGTAGTGCGCGTACTTGAGGTTGTCTAGCTCATCTATCTGGCGCGTGAGGTCCACCAGAGCACTGCGAAACGTAGAGAGGTCTTCGTGTGCATCAGCTGCTGCTGGCTGGTTCCACATTGAAAGTTGCACCATTTTTTTCTCAAAAAAAAGGGATCGGGAATACCCACTCCTCTTTCTCTGTCTTGCCAGCTTTAGGTGTTCCCGTTCTCGTTTTCGTAGCTCTTTGCTCTTCTCGTCCGCTTCCTTCTTGTACCGTTCCTCATTCTCCGTTGTTTTCTCCTTGTAGCCGTCCAGTTCGTGGAGTAGCGGCACTTCGAAGCCTCGATATAAGCTCTCCGATAGGATGTGCGTGTTGCTAGCTATCAGGTATTGGAGACCCCCGGCGTTCATCAGACCGTCGGCGGTGTCACCTGCTCCCTTGCCTAGACAAGAAAGGGAAAAAAAAGCGTCAGTGGGTCTAGCACGCTTTGCTATTTACGGGACATAAAATTACATTTTGCGCATGATTCCAATGCTGCTCCAAATGCCGATGCGGCGGCCGCAACTGTAGCTAGAGACTTCCGGTAGGTTTTTGCAGAATCGAGAAGTTCCTCATAAGCCGTTATAGAAGCCGCCACATCGGCCCTCGACAGGAAGCTCTTCGGCAACAGTGGGGGAGGCGGTGGTGGGATGTTCAACGAAGCCGTTGGGAAGGCTGTTGACGCGAATGAGTGAGCTGGAGAAGGAGGCATAGGGGGTAAATTGTTGGGAGTAGGAGTGGATGGGGAGGAGGGGGAAGTCATGGTTGAAATAGTAGTATGTGGGAATGAATATGATTCGAACTAAATGATGGAAACCGGTGGAAAAGTGAGTGTATTACCGGTATGTGATAAGGGAGGGTTTAGTTGGCTAGGAAGGAGAGGAATCAAATGAAATGCGGAGGCGGAAGAGGCTCCATTAGCTCCCTAGGTCGCTTATTAGAGTTTGAGGTGGCTGCCAAGACTATTTTGGTGCTTCTTCCCATGATATGATTGGGAGTGTAATGAGTGTGATAGTGGACCGTGCAGTTGTACAAGTATGATAGATAATTTTATGCGGTAAACTGTTGCGCTTTCACAAAGGTTACAGTAACTTAGACCACAAGTGCCGGGCAATATGTTTTCGTATATGACAGGGATTATCTTGCAGGTTAAGCTGATCAACCGTCCACTGACTTTATCTTGCTCGAGGTGTGTACGAATATTTTCGGTACCTACCGGTAATTAGTAAGGTATGATAGCCGCCTAAGGCTCTTCCTTAAATTCTGATATTTCAAAGGCTCAGAGCGGGGCCCTGGTTATCGTCTGTAGCATAAGATACGGTATCATACTGTGCGTACAATACAGTGGTGTGTATGATACTGCTACAGTGATTTGTTTGCTCGCCTGGGGGACGGAGAATTCGCGGCCCCAGAAACACACCTCCCTCGATACCCTTCTTCCTCTCTCCCCCCGCCCAATGCCCCTCCCATTCTACCCAAGCCTCCTTTACCTTCTCCCACCTATAGTCTCCGCAATATCCTACCTTTGTTATCATTCCACCCTCACACCGCTATCATTAATCAACAGTACTTTTCCATTGGAAGAGGTGAAGATCATAACAACACCCATCTCCGCATCCACCTCCGCATCCACCGTTATGACTAGTGCCGCAGCCATCGTGGTTCCAGCTGCCACCAGACACACTGCCACGTATTCCCCTCCCCTCTCCACCCGTCTTCCGTCTTCTAATCATTATTCCAATGTCTCATTTCTATGGTCTTGCAGATTTATCTTTCTTCATGGTCTCGGGGACACCGGTGCCGGATGGTATGTTTTTTTTTGTGTGCCTCCATCGGCCCCTTGCACTTTTACCCACCGAGCCTCGCTCGGCACGCGAGTCGGTAGTTGGTAGTTTCTAAGAAGCCACTGTGTTTAGGTCTTTCGTGTCCGAGAACTTTCGCCTCCGCAGAAAATTTGACGAATGCTCTTTCATTTTTCCGCATGCACCAATGATTCCGGTTACCCTGGTGAGCTTTCACTCCCTTGTGAACCCTATGCGGTCCAGCTACGGAAGATGGGATGCAGCAGGCTAGCAAGCTAACTATTCGTCAGAATATGGGTATGAGAATGCCTAGCTGGTTCAATATTGTTAGCACCTCTCAACAGATCGCCTGACCTTTGAGCGAGTGATAACTAATGACCTCAAAGGCCTCTCTCACAAATATTCAGGCCGCCGAAGACGAAGCTGGGATACTGGGAAGTGCTCGGAATATCCATGCAATCATCGAAGAGCAGATTGATAAAGGAATTTCTAGTGAGCGAATTATCCTTGGTGGATTCTCGCAAGGCGGCGCGCTTGCTCTTTTGGTAAGCTGCGTCACCCAACTCCAGTTGAAGGAGATCAATACTAACTCCTGGTGTGTTAACAGGCTGGCCTTACTTCCAAGCACAAGCTTGGCGGCATTATTGGACTTTCCGCTTGGCTCCCTTTGCACCAGAAGATTGAGTCCTTGGTCTCCGAAGAGAACAAAAATACTGATATCTTCCAGGCTCATGGGGAGTCGGACAGAACGGTCCAATTCAATTGGGGCAAGCTCACCAAGGAGATTTTGCAGGATAAGTTGGGCCACAATGTGGAATGGCATTCATACCCTTTGCTTGAGCACAGCGCAGATGCCCAGGAGATTGCGGATATGGAGGAGTGGTTGCACACACGGTTACCCCCTACAAGCTCATAAAAGAAGAATACTTGAAAAGGGTGTTCTGCTAGCTCCGAGGTTAATTTATATCTCTGATTATAGCACTAGACATGTCTAAATTGAAATACACCATTTGAGCCGGTACCAGTGCTCGAGTACAGTATCGTAACGCCTTCAAAGTTAAGCACATAATTTTTACGTGACTATAATGACGGTAGAAGTTCAAAACATCCTATTGTTTTATCTGAAGAAAATTTGGATAGAGGAAACAAGATAATAATAGCCGCAACACGACTGGAATCCAGTAACATCTCCCAAACATCGAAAAGGGAAGAAAATGGAAAAGAAAATGGAGCAATGACACCGTTAAAAGCCCCGAACCCCCATCACGATGACCCTCACTCCGTAACAGCCCCCACCACTTTTCTCCTGCCTGTATTCATCATCTATTTATTCAACTCCTGAGCTCTAGCGTGTAGCTCCTCGCGGCCGGCCTTCTCTCCAAGAGCAGAGGTATCCTGCGGTATGACGGGACCAGGCGTAGCCTGGAAATGCTCAGCCTCAGGCTTACGCTCCCCCTCCTCATCCTTCCTCTTCGTATCAAAAACACCAGCCTTGATCGTCTCCTCCGAGGGGATAACCGGGTTCACGGTATTGGCGTCCAGAGCGGACGTATCCTTCGAGTTGATACCGGGGACGACGAGAGGCATGTTATCTATCGTATCGTATCGTGCCGTACCGTGTATACTGTAGTGCGAAGCTGTGAAAAAGCGAAAAGAAAGGGGTTTTTTTTGTGCGTGTTCTCGTCTTTTGATTCTCGGTAGTTGTGAATGGGGAAGTGGTTTTGGTTGAGTTGGGTACGGTGGATGAGGTGCGTTACCGTAAGGTTCTTAAATGTTATACCAGTAACGCTTGTTCCGTGCTCTTTAATAAAGAAAGGCAAACTGGAGGCGGTTGCAATGACGATGGGGTGGGGTGGTGGTATGATACGTCATCGCTGACGAGGAGGTATTAGGTGGCCATGACGGAGGGTGGTGGTGGTGGTGGAATGGTGCCAAGGAATTCCCCCACGTGTGGCTGGTGCGCGCGTGGCGGGGGGGGGGTAAAACTGGTGAGGATCAGGTTCTTATCATACCAGATCTCCTCCCTCCCGTTGGTTTATGGAACTGAAATCACGTCGTTTGCCAGTGATATTATGAGTCGGAAGAAGAGTGATGAACTGGGGGTCGGAGTCACTGTGCCGCCATGTTCGTGTTCGGGCACAACTATCATAATATTATTCGCGTCGGTACGGAACATGACATCATGGCTAAGTTCCATGCCTCGGATATGGGATTCATGTCTTGGTCCCGGTAAACTATCATACTATCATAGTACGGGTACTCGAGCTCAGTACTATTCGTATAGTAGTAGTACTGGTACTGCCTAGATCAGATGTTTTCACCTAAGGTCACAACATATCACTCGTGGACCAAGATAGTAACGTCAAGTATCGGTATCGTATGATGTGGTAAATTATCGCTTGTGGTGGGTTTCTGTCATGCCTGATTTTGTGAACGGGGGTTCCCAGGTGTGCGCGCACCACCTTATTATCCCTACCGCTACCGTTCGCATTCACCAATTCCTTTCGCAAGATAGGGGCACTATACTCGCGAAAAGAAGAGAAAGAAAAGAAAAAAAAAGGCTATGATAACGAATGACGTCTGAAATATCATACCATATGAAGAAAGGAACTCCCACTTTGTCATAATTATAATAATATTATTATTATAAAATGGGTATAAATAAAGTTTCATCTAATTATGCATAACTTACGGTATCATAACTCCCATCATGGGAAGAAAGTGGTTTCAGTTTCTGTGCGTGCGTTAGGTGGTGGTTGAGCAGTCACAATCACTTTGTTCCAGGGACTTGGGATAATTTGTAGCGTGCTTGCCCTTGCCATTTCGATACGAGCGACAAGTTGTTGTTGCCGCCGCAACTTTTGACCTAAGGTTGGCATTCCTACCGTGGCCCCCGCCAAATCAAATTCTTATTATCACACCCGACCTATTCTGCCTGCCTTCATCATTTTCTCGCGCACGTCTCCACAAATTCGCAAAACACGCGAATTATTTTCCAAGGGGGACTTTTCGAGGTTTGCTTCCTCCTCCTGAATTTCTTCTTCCCATTTCCCCCCCTTCCATCTGGAGTTGCTTGGGTTTTATTTTTATTTTTTATTTTTTTGGTGGGGCTAACATTTGTGGTGGGGGGGGAACCTCCGTTTATCTGTCTAGCCATCTCACTTTCAAAACTCCCCAACACCTCTTTCCTCACACTATGGATCAAGCAAAGCTCGCTAGGCTTCAGGCGTCTGTTAGAATCGGTATGCTTCTTTCTCTTGCTTATGCCATTGTGAGGATTTTTTGATCCTTTTCGTTTTTATGCGGGGTGGATGAATGCGAAATCTGGACCGGCCGGAGAGGGGTAATTCTGGTTGGAACCGGACGTGTTTTTTGTTCTTCCTCTTTTGTGTCCGCGTGGTATAAACCCATTGAGATGGAAACTGACCGACCGTTTTCAACTTTCTAGGGTAAATATCTGCCCTCCTGGCCAACGGATGCATTATTTTTTCCGCTGGTTGTTGGAATTCTTGATTTTCTGGTATGGCGCGCTGACGGTGGTCGTCGGTTCTGCAGTGGGAAGGGCACACCCAGGAGAAAGGTCAAGAAGGTCCACAAGAACGCCGGTACCGATGACAAGAAACTTCAGACTTCTCTCAAGAAGTTGAATGTTCAGCCCATCCAGGCCATTGAGGAAGTCAACATGTTCAAAGAGGACGGAAATGTTATCCACTTTGCTGCACCAAAAGGTTAGTGTAGCAAACGTTATCCCAGGCTCCGGAACGCACGAGCCGGTCTATCATACAGAGCTTGGATTGGTTGCTGAAATTCTTACGGTGTACAGTGCACGCCTCGGTTCCGGCTAACACTTTCGCCATCTACGGCAATGGTGAAGATAAGGAACTCACCGAGCTCGTTCCTGGCATCCTTAACCAGCTTGGTCCCGACTCTCTTGCATCTTTGAGGAAATTGGCCGAGAGCTACCAGTCGCTCCAGAAGAAGGAGGGTGAGGAGGGCGAAAAGAAGGAAGGTGATTCCGACGACGACGACGACGACGACAACGACATTCCCGAGCTCGTTGAAGGGAAGAACTTTGATAAGGATGATAAGGAGGAGGAGAAGGAGGAGGAGAAGGACGAGGGGGGCGCTGAAGATGCTAAACCTGAGACTGAGTAGTTCGTGCAGTGTCATCCTTTAAACTTTGTTTGGTATAACTGGTTCTTTCCTTTTTCGCCCTGGGGTTATCAAATAACAAAGGAAAAAAAACAATTCTCTTCTTCTATGAGCTTCAAGCAATGAGGGAAATGTGGGCTGTGTCTGTACAAATATCATAAAAGCGGCTTGTTTTTCTTTCTTTCTCCACAGTACAGCAAGTGGACAAGTGATAGGGATATCCGCGGGAGCATAACATGCCATCTCAAAGCTCGAGCTGGTAGGTTAACACCGTCCCTGCTGTGCTTGAGTTGAGGGTAACATGGCACAGTGCGAACTGTGTTGTATGAGTACTGTAATACATAAGTGCCGTAGAATGCTAGACATGGAGAGGGGCAACACCGGCAATTGCAGCAGTTCACTCGCCCTTCATCAGGATGCGAACACCGCACCTCACGTGATAAGGTACAAATAAGTGATGCCGCCCAGGGTGCACTACGCAAGAGCTAACTTACCGGTATGTGATCATGAAGGGGTTCAAAGAACAGGGGTCCAACCATAATCGAGTATAAGCTCAACATTCGCCGAGATAATTTACCTCACGTCTTCTTCCCCGAAACCCTCTCAATGCACCGACACAGTAGTATCGTATTAGACCGGAAGCGGCCCATCCAGGAAGCGAGCCAGTTTTAAAAACGAGAAGAAGGTATGATAGAAAATCAGAAAATCCCAACACAGGAAGGAAGAGGGGGTATAGTTTAATATAATATACGGGTAGGTAGTTCGGAACCGGCCACAGCTTCCCCCATTTGCTTTCCCTGATAGATTGTTGTAGTATCGTACCGGCATTGTGTATACTTCGCTGTTGATCCCACCCCCCGATTGGACTATAGAGGGAGAGGGAGCTATCTGTCGTAAGTTTGTGTTGCCTTTTTCACGGGGGGTGGTAGTATGTTGTGCCTTCAGTGAATTGGTATGGCACAGTATAATACTATGTTGGTGTTTTGGCACCTTGCTCGAGAGTGAGTGGGAATTGGATTGGGGTTGTTAGCTCTAAAACACAAATTCCTATGATACACTGAATAGATATACGTGGATTGATCTCGAGTGCCTTATCTGAGCCATCGCTACTATATATAGCCATAGCAATGTCTGAGCTTGAAAGTCACGATACTGAGCACTGTATGATACACTTGCGAGATGTGAAAAGAAGAAGAAGAAGAAGAAGAAGAAGAAAAAAACTTGCAGTTAAATCATTTACTATGGTGTATTATATTAGTACTCTTGGCGGAGTTTCAAATTGGGCCGCACTAACTTACTTGTAAAGGGGAACTCAGCAGTCACGCTTAAGTCATTCACTTTCACCCCGCCAGAATTAAGGTAAACACACCTAATTGAGGGGTTGGAATGAATTAAAATTAGGCTTGGGAACGTGGAATGAAAATAAAATAAAAGAAAGGAAAAAGTGATGATTGAACTCTTCCGAATAAAATAAAATAAAAATTAATAATGGCAGTGAGGGACAAAGGTACATTAATGCAATTCCAAGGAGATTTTTTATTTTCATTTTCACGTTGTCGGGTAGGGCTTATTGTATCACACGAAATTTCCCTACCCAATTTAACCACAACCCAATTTACGAGTACCCGCCAGCCCACCTGCCCCTCCATCCCTCCTCGGGCCCTCTATTTTTCCCATCTCCCCACAACAACCACAAAACCACAACCACAACCAAACCATCAAAAAAAAAAAACTGATCAACCAACCAATCGACCAACCAGCCCAACCGTAGAGAAAAAGCCGACAACAAAAAAAGAAGAGAAAGGATGTCCAATCCCAGAATCGAAGACGTAACGGAGGATGAGACCAAGCAAGCCGAAGTCGAGGACGCCGACTCCAGCGATGATTCCGAAGCTGGTGATCTCATCGGGGGAGGAGTAGGGGGGGTAGGAGAGGGTGAAGCCAGTGGTATTCCGGCCGGAAGCAGCGTCGCCGTGCACAGCAGGAACGAGAAGAAGGCTCGCAAGCAGATCGCGAAGTTGGGGTTGAAGCACGTCCCTGGTATTACTAGGGTTACCTTGAGGCGTCCGAAAAATGTGTGTTGTGTTATTATATATATATTCAAGGCCCCGCGTTGAGGGGGGGTACGGGAGTGGGTACGAGTAGTGAGTGCTAATGCGGGTGGCATGGATGGGTGGACAGATTCTCTTCGTGATTAATCAGCCGGACGTGTATAAATCGCCCTCTAGTAATACTTGGATGTAAGTTTCTCTCTCTCTCTCTCTCTCTCCCTCTCTCGTTTGCCCGGTAATAGGTGCTGATGCTGGGTTGGGTAGCATATTCGGCGAGGCAAAGATTGAAGACTTGAATTCCCAAGCCCAAGCCAACGCTGCGCAGCAGCTCCAGCAACACGAGAGCGCTGCCAACATCGAAGCGGACCTCGTTGCTGCCGCGGCCGGCGGCAGTGCTGGCAGTATGGGGGACAAAGGTAAGGATGCGCAAGCACTCCAGAAGAAGGAGGAGGAAGAGGAAGAGGATGGGGAAGAGGTCGATGAAGAGGGGTTGGAAAATAAGGATATTGAGCTTGTTATGGCCCAGGTAAGCTTCTTCCCGTTTACCTTTACCCGTGGCTACTATGGGGAGTTTCCGGCGCTAATAGAAAATCCAGGCAACCGTTTCTAGAAAGCGAGCTGTCAAAGCACTCAAGGAGAACGACAATGATATTGTCAATTCCATCATGGCTCTCAGTGTTTAGTTTAGTTAGTTTGGAGAAGCGGAGCTTTTTCTTGTTTTCAAGGGTTTCTTCAATAAAATTGGGGTTTGGGTGAATTTTGATTGTTATTCGCTCCCGTCGTTCGTCATGTGAATTCGAATGTGAATTTTGTTCGAAAGGGATTAGATTAGGATAGTGAGATGGGGAAGGGATGGCGGTTTTCCCATAACTTTACTTGTCTACTACGGCTATGGCCCCCGAGGGGGATTGTGCTAGCTTGCAATCGAGACAATGGCGAATGTAAATGTGGATATGGAGGGCATGAGTGCATAGCTGCTAGTATTTGCCGTACGGTTCGAGCACTCCAAAACATGCACTAGATATTAGATTTTTCAAAGTCTATAGGATCAGCGACTACAGACATTACTCGAGAATTGCAGGAAAGAAGGAAAGAAAGAAAACTAAGGTGTTAAAAAGGAGAGGGGATGAGGTGCGTTGCTGTCGGGATTCACGACTGCCCTCTTTTTCTCATCTTCTTATCCCTACTCTTGATGTGGGATGGGGATGACGGGGATGACGAAAAGGGTGTATTCGAATATAATAGTTTGGGCTTTTCCTTTGGGGGAGTGTGGGTGGTGGAATTGGAATATTATGTGTATGATATTACTATATATATGTTCCCTTTGGTAAATCGTTAAATGTAGATTATATTGTTCGAGCACTCCAAAGCGTGCACCAAATATTAACCTTCAGAGTCTATCTATAGGTAGGCTCAGTAACCACAAGAGTTCTTGGAGGGAAATTTCCCTGTTCCACTCTCCTCCCATAAAACCCCCATAACAAGCGCAGGCCCCTCTAACCCCCCCCCCCAAACAACGGCAATTCATCCCAATACACGCGCTCACGACAAACTCCAATGTACCACCAACAAGGAGAAATCCCCACCCGGGGAAGGGTGGTTGTGGGTGAGTGATTTGTGAATGTTCGTATTTGCTTGTTCAGAGGGGGGTGGAGGTGGTGGTGTCAGTCAGGACAGCTCATACCGTAAGTAAATACCTCGTAAGCACTCGAATATATAAGAGAAATTATCTAGGACATTTCAATTGCTTCTCGTAGCAAGGTGCTGTTTTTCTTCTTCTTTTTCTTGTCTTAGCTGAGAGCTGAGTTTGCAGTGATTTGCCTACCTTATCCTGGAGGGTGGGGGGGTTCAACGACATAGCATATTTCTCTTGTGTTCGAGTCCCGGTACTTATGGTAGTTTAGTCAGCGTGGGGAAACTGTGGATGATACTGAAGATGCTGAGTGCTGCTACACCTGCGGGGAGGAGGAGAAGGTGGGGTATTAGAGAGCGTGTTCGAAGGGTAATTGCGGAGGTGGTTAGTATGATAGGTGTAGGAGGTTCTCTTGTGCGCCTGTGGGAAGGAGTGTTGCAGGATGTGGTTGGGAGAATGAGAGGGTAGGTCCGTGAGAGTCTTTAAGAATGGGTATAATGTTTTCTTCTTGTCCCCCCGGGAGTGGCGGGGCGGGTATTTCTAGTGGAAGGGTACGCTTTAAGTGTGCTCTGTCATTGCCGATGAAGCGCACATGTGTGCCTCCATACCGCCCTTGGCTGAACAGCACGCCACTCATCCCCCGAATCCACCCCACAGCAAGGCCACCTCATCCGTGGAGAAGGCACCAAATCTGCACCCGTCCTAGTGGACCTCATCTAGAAGCCTGTTTTTCCCGGGAATGCTCTTCACAGCCCACCGCAATTCCATAAAGATTCTCAGATGCGAGTGATTACTGGGGATATATGTCCGGATCTGGCCTGTCCTCTAACGTCTTCCTGCTCTTCCCTCTGGTTTTCGCGCGGCGGGCGCGGATTGGGAATTCTGTTGTTGCTTCCCCGCCGACTACCACCCTAGCATGGTCGGGGAGGATGTGGTATTGGCGTAATTGGTAGACCATCAACCGGGATTACGCCCTCTTGGGCCCGGGGCCAGGCTGTACCTCGACGAGGCGGCGGGGGGGATCCGATGCACCCCGTCGCCGCGCGGATCTGTGGTGGAGTTCCCGCTATAGCTGTTATCTATGGAGACATGCAGGATGAAGCATGACAATGTGGGTCCAACTTCAACTCCAGCAGCTCCTATAATCGTGGTCGGTAGGCAGCGGGAAATTCTCATACACCGTGCTGAGCCATAACACCTCCGATAGGAACTCCTCGGGAAACAAGGAAACACAGTTGTGAGACGGTAGCTTTCTAAACCTGCTAGTTGGCATTCGGATTCCGTGACTGCTTCACGAACCGCCCCTCGTCCCCAGCGCCGGTACGCCCATACATGGCTCCTCTTGGTGTCCCCGCTGCCCAACTCCTCGCTGAGGAGTTGCTAAGCGATGCACATGGGGACAGTCTTTTGAGAAGGTCACCGAAAGGCGGCGGAGCGGAGCCAATGCTTTTCAAATTCGAGATTTGGAAGAATTTCGCGGGGACCCCAGACTATCGAGAGAGAGTAAGTTTCGAGGGCCTTTATTATCCTTGCGTCGGAGGCTTGGGAGAAGACCTTTATTATGCAGGAGTAGGGCTTTATCTATCAAGAGGATGCTTTCCAGGGTTGGGCTTTGACGGCTGAGGAGACGGTTTCGTCGGGAGCTCAAGCGAGCGCCTTTTGGTGACTGGGAGAGCTTCCGGATATCTTTCCAGTTTTTGAGGTTGATGGTGGAGAAATTTGTCCATTTCCACTGCCGTCTGCAAACCCACTGAGGGGTTTCGGGGCTTGTTATCGTTACGGTTGCCCCTGCAGACCATTAGGAAAATGCGCAGTTGACTACAGGTACTTCTTCGTTTACCGTATGTATGTCTCACACCAATGTCCTTCTGACCCTCCCAGGCCTTGCAGAGTCTCAAGTACGGTAGATGATAAGGTACAAAATGTAAGAGCTATGGTATCGACATGTCTGATCCGATCTGAGCTGACCTGATCCAAAGTATATCAGTGGTCCACAGTAACAGAGAATCTCAAACATTCAATCCAACACTTTCGATACCGTAATTTCATGGCGATTTGAAACGGGCAGTCAATTCCTCAACTGTATCTACCATATTATGGTAGGATATACCCTGTCGGTTTGGCTTAGTGGTGGGTAGACAATCAATGGATTTCAGGAGAGGGATTCCTACTAAGGGACTTGATAGATCTAAACCTAGCACCAGTAATCTACTTGCGCTAGTACAAGCACTGCAGACTACCGGTAATGTTGATGCGTACCTGGGTCGTGAGAGCTTGGCATTGTCTTCCATCTCATAAGCCGCATTTGTACTACGGTACCGAAGTACCTGTAGACGCCGAGGCAGGGACAATTCGATGTGGGATCCGATGCGAACTTCATCGATCGACAGAAATATGGGGGCCAGGTTCACTGCGATACTTAACCTATCACAAGATCATGAATGGAAAGAAGAAGAGAAATACCCAACACACGACATGTCACCAGCCTTGTGAATCATAAATATAGACTAGCATAACACTCTACTCGATTGTAAAAAAAAAAAAAAATTGAGAGGGAGAAGTGAGTTGTTGTTGGCAATGTATCCGTATGTACCGGTACCATATCTCAGCTGTGATGGGGCATAATATTGTAAAGTATCATATCGGTATCTACCATCCTTCAAACACCGGCAAGCAGCATAAGAAGCACAATGCCTCGAGGTCGATCACGGAAGAAAAAAGAAAAGGAAAAGAAAAAAAGAAACAAAAGGGATTCATGAACAATCGGAACTCGCGTACCGGCCAACTCAAACAGGCGAAATGTTCACGTCCTCTGTCACTCATTCCCGGGCAACATTGCTGATCATGTTTTGGGTGTTGTGCTCGAGTCTTGCGCTCTGGCGACCGGCTTGCTCCCTGGCTGGCTGGCTGGTTGGTTTGACACTTCGCTTACCTTATTTTGCACCCCTTGGCGGGAAGGGTGCGGAAAGGCAATAGATTGCCTCCAGCCACCCGGACAGTTAACCCAAATGAGAACCCCTCCAGTGGTTTTGCTTGGACGAACTTTGGCAGCAGCGCGATCACCAGTTGTTTCCTTGTACAAAATCCACCAATCAACATCTGTTGTGGTCTGGGGGGGGGTCCGGGTGACTCGGGAGGCTGTCTGTCGCTTTAAACAATTCGGCTCGGGGGGGGGGGAATTTCTGGCTTCTGTTGGTCGTCCCCCTCTCCCGCCCGCATTGGCGCTCCATAAATAGTACCCGTACCGGTACGTACGAGTACAGTACAGTACTGTACGAGTACTATAAGTACTCGTACACCCTACAAGAAAGCCAAGTCCAGTCAAAATTTGAACATCTTTCAAATTGGGAAAGCCCGGGGTTGGGATGCCGGGGAACTTTACGGGGATGGCGCGAGCAATACGATAAGAGAGGAATGAACAGCCTTGAATGACCTCGTTTAACTGTAATTTGTGCATTGCGAGACGAGACGCGGGGTAAATTAAGCCCTATGTATGATATTCGCGATCCTGCTGCTGAAATCACGACAGCCTGTCAGCCCCGCCCACACACACGTTCTCTCTTACTCACTCGCCGGTTATCGGTGCTTGTACATATCATACCATACCGGTACTGGCACTATAATATTATGATAGAGCATTGCAGAGTAGAACACTCGTAGTGAGACCCATCGCAGACCCCGGAAAGCGACAAATGAATGGCTCAAGCCGTGTGGAGCCTTGGCGGGGGTTCCCCATTCGTCGCAAAAAGGTTGAATCGAATGGTATTGGTACTGTACAGTACCGGTATCACACCAAGTCCCTCCCATACGGTACAAGCAATTTTTGACAACCAAGTAAATGTCAAAGCTCAGACATACAGTGCTCGAGTGACATTGCCTGCTGCTTCTCCCCCCCTGCCGGTATGGTGCTCGCAGTTGTTTACGGTACTGTATCATAATAATTGCTCTTTTTTCCCTTCTATTTTCCCTCCCTTTGCCTTCAGTACCGTAGTTAACCCCTACAGTTTAGGGGGAATGACCTGATGGGCCCTTCCTACTCGAGTACTCGTACAGGTAGACTTCTTTTTCTTTTTCTTTTCTTCCTTGGAATTCATAATTCTCTCTCCTCAGTCCCTGCATGCATCCAATTGCCCTTCTCCACGCATCGCTTCTTGGGGGGGGGTATTATTTGCCTGCCCCGTCTCACTGCCCTTTCACAAACTACGATACACACCCAATGACTGAATCCGGTCTCCCATTTTGAAAGGACGATGGCGCGAGTTATTTCTTAATCTTGCATCGCATTGCATCGCATCTGAGATCAAAGAAACCCTTTCTCACACCACTATGACATTTGCCCTTTGATTCTGCCTTTCGCTTCTGCATCCGCGCCTCTGCGGTCCCCCTACCTTTCCGCTTATCAGCCGGCCCTCCTTTTTGATCCGTGCTCTTATAATAAATCTTTCCCTCACCTCTTGTTTTCTCCAGCACTTTCTCCCTAATCACGCACTCTCTCCTTCGCCCATCTTGAAGCTACGAAGATGTCCGCATCCAGAAGCCTCCTGAACCGCCGATCGAGACCTGTCAGCGGCGTTTACGTCCCCTTATCACCAAGGGATTCTTCGGCACGCTCTTCAGTTCATTATACGAATGAATTGTTAGAAGATGTGATAGTAGTCGAAGAACAAAACAAAGGTGCGGGAGCGCGAACAAGTGGAAAAAAAATACTTCCCATGCCTGGACCGCCGCCGAAGAGAGACCTACCTCCTCCACCTCAATCTCCGCCACCACTGTCTCCTCGAGATCCACTGCGTGGGCAGCCCTGGAAGAGCGCTGGGGGAAGCTCCGGCCACCGTCATTCGCTAGGATATCCTGTGAGCATCCCAAACCCTGAGTCAAGGTTGGAGCTATCCCGCTCGGCAAGTGAACGGGAGGCCATCCAGAGGAAGCGCAGATCACGCGAGGAATGGGTCAAGGCCCGCAAGGAAAGGGACATACAACAAATACGCATGGTGATGAGAGAGAAGAGGCTCGACGGGAAGCTGTGCGGCAACAGCGAGAGGAACTCCGGAAACTGGCGGGAAACCATCACTCCTCCGAGTACACCACCTTTGTCACAGAACCTCCGACCAGCCACCCCGGCTCTCACTCCGGCTCCATCCCCCACCTCTACTACCGTCCCACCTAGCAACTCATTTAAAGATGGTAGTTGCTCGACAATATCAGCACTATCGGCATCAGCAAAGGAGATGGAGCTCGAGGAGCGTGTGCTGGCATTGGAAAGGAAGAACAAGATGTTGGAGCAAACAATAATGGCTGTTATCCGAACCGGTATAGGGCCCTCGCGCAAGGGGTCCTTCTTATTACAAGCCAAGTCCCTAGAGGAGTTTCTGCAGGAATTGAACCTCGATGAATGAGTGGCTGCGATATCTTGTTTGGCTGCTGGGGTTTTATTGGTCTGGTTTTTTTTTTTTTTTTTTTTGGCGACGAGGTATTTGATTTTTTGTTTTCCGTTTTTCTTACCGGACTGGAAAGAGAAGCCTAAATTTCTTGTTAATATTTTTGTTCTGATAATAATATATTATTATGTCAAGCGGTCCGGCAACGTTCCAACCCTCTAACGGGGTGGAGAAGTGCATGACATCCTTGGCTTGATATCACTACCAGACTGTGATCTCAGATGAAATTGGTTATACCAGCTGTAGCCATTGACCGTGCTTGGTGCCGGTGGCGGCGGTACTGACTTCATATCAGATTGGTATTCACAGGAACAGTTCTGTAGGCTCGGTGTTGCGGCCGCATCTCGAAGAAATTGCCTGATACTCGAGTACACCCGATCAAGCAATTGAACCACACCAAAAGGCAGTATGAGATCATCCCGCTGAGCAAATATCAAGCACCACCAACTACCGCCACTTCGACATTCCGGTTGAGAAAGCCTTCGAGCGTCTCAAAGTAAGCACGTGAGATCAACCACCACCAGCCATTCAGTCAGCCAGTCACTGGGTTCCCCTTACCTTCAGATGAAATAGGAACCAAGTCTTCCGCTCCAAGTCACCCCTCCCATTGCCTAAATGCTACCTCTGCGGTCTTTTAATAGCATAGGTGGCCCTGATACCATGGCCCTCCCACGCCCCGACCATCCACGCATGGGTCTCCTAGTTAATTGAGTATCATGTCTGCAGAGTGGGAAGGTCGCTCGGAATCACCCAGCCCCGGGGGTTTACTGTAATCACTGAGTAGTGAGGCATGGTGAGAAGTTTCAAGTTTGTAAAGGAGAATAGGGGGGCGTGTGTGGGTGCGAGGTTTTTCTTGAATAAACTAACTGACGGGTACCATAGCTCTTTCGTCGTAAACTGTGATCCAGGAGTCAGGGTACCGGTATTATCACAACGTTTATGGGATAGCAATCGAGAAGTAAAGGGGAAAAGGGAGAGTTAAGGAAGGGCAGACGAGTGAAAGGGCACGATGGTGAAATGGAGGGGGTGGATGTTTGGATCGTGAGTGAATGAAAATGTTTCCCGAGTATCACAAAGCAAATAGCAGAACCACGCGAGCCCGAATCATTCTCTCCATTATATCTCCCCTATTGAAACTAAATACGGCACGACTAGGTATAATACAGTACGACTGAATCCGCCTCATTTGACTATCGCAGCTTATCCCAAGATCTCCCCAACCAGGACCTCGCCGCAAAAGCGGCAGCACCAAGGCACCCCGCATCCCTCCCTCTCGCAGCATAGATATCCATCCTCCACTCTGTCTGCCTGCCCCCCCGCTTGCTGCATAAGAGGAAGAGGTATCCAACTGTATGCACCATATGTAACGTCTGTGGCTCGCTCCGCTACCGACGCTTCGGAACCCCCTAGAACAGACGAAATCCAATTATCTCTCCCCTTTCCTCCAGCTTGACCTCACCCCGCACCAGCCAACCAAGAAGAACTTTTTTATTTTTTCTTCCATTTCAAACCCACTCTAGCGCATCACCCTCATAACCTACAATGGAAAGCTAAAACACGCGCAAACTAGATAACTCACACATACACCTTCAACCTTGTCGTAGCAAGACAACACTTTATCCTGACCTGACACACACGGTGACACACCTAGCCTAAACCTAACGCTCGAGAGAGAGATAGCTCACCTTACCTCACCTCTAAACCTACCTACTCTGCTCGAGGACTTACCTACCCTCCAACGTATCCCTCTATTCACCTATCTCGGATAGCTCTAGCGACGGCGCTGAATTGCGACCTACCTACACCACTCAATCGACTAATCCCCCGAGAAACGAACGAAAGACAGAGAAGAGCACATGTAACCACCAATGGACCCCCCAACAGACCACACCCTACACATCTCCCGCGAAGACCTTAACTACCTAACAGCGACCCAACGCCGACTCCACCACAACCGTCACCAGCATAACCACCCATCAACCCCGTCCTCCTCCTCAACCACCAATACTGCCAACAGCGGCGGTTCTCTGAGCCTAGACCCCCAGGCACTCGCTGCGCTATCGAACCATTTTGATGCGCTGTTGGCGGCGATCACGAATCGTGTTGAGACGGTATATAATACCTTCTATTTCCGCCCCCCACCTTCTTTCACCCTTTCGCACTCTCATTGAGGATTAAGGGATGTGAGGGGAGCCTTTAACTAATTTCATTAACCGTTGACTATTTATTATATAGTTGTCCGCGCAAACGGTCCGGAGTACGCAAGCGTCTCATCGGCGAGCAGGGGGTGTCGTGGAAGCTGCTACGGTCGAGATAGAAACGCTTAGGGATGTGCTTAGGCAGTGCGACGAGCTGCAGAATGAGTTCCTGAAGATTCGGAGGATTGGTGAGATTGTCAAAGGGTTTAGGGCTAGGGTTGATGCCCTGGAGAGGAGGATCGGGAAGTAAATCATACTTTTATGATCATAGAAGGGCTTCTTATTTAGGTGAAGGCGGGGGGGCTATATTTCCTGTCTCTGTTCTTGTCTCTTTTGGCTTATATTTCTACTTTCCGATAGATGATGGGGTGGGTATTCCTTTGTAATTGTGATTTCCCTTCTCTTTCTTCCCTTCTCTTTTCTCCCCCTCTTCCCCTTTGTTCTCCTGTAGGAAAGACATCGAGGAGAAAGCGTGATCTGTGGGGGTTTTCTTTTCTTTTTTTGTAATACCATCGTTTCATTGCTTAAGGTACGAGAATATCGCATGCAGGAAAATCCTATGGCGCGGATCTACGGAGTTGGTGTTCTTTATGTTTTATATTTTCCGCTCTCTTTACCTCTCTATATTGTATCTCACACACGAAAGCGTGGGCGCCGTTGTTTCTGTATTCACAATGGTTGGATCCTTCCCCTACCGATATCTCATTGCTAAGAGAGCTCCTTTATTTCGCATTGCTAATTTACTTATCTATATCAATTATTAATCCCACCCGCATCTACCTACCGGACTAACAATAAAATTTGGCGTGATATCACCCTCAAGCAATGCTAATTTGGATGGTCCCATATGGTTCCTCCTGGCTGAGGTTAACTAACCCTCTAGTACCCAACAGAAGTAAATGTGAAAAAGCACTGGCTACCACCTCAGGTTTACTACTCCCTGGCAAGAGGAGATGCTCGAGAGTTATGAGGTTGGAATGGCCCATGATCTCTTCATCGTCGTTGCGACTATCCAGTTTACGGATCTCATCTTTGAGAAAACTATTGGGATCCCATCGAGCAATTAATAAGGTTAACACAATAGGGTAACGGGGACGGAGACAAACTTGAAGAAATCCAGACAATCTTTTTCTACGGAATTATTAGTTTCCGCTTCGGAGTTGGTACCCAGGTTGAAGGACTCGAATTGCTCTGCCATATCAATCAAACCTTCGCCAGCGCCAATTTCAGGAATATCAAGATCTTCGTCTCTCTCTCCGATTGGTGATCGGAGGATGCTCATCCGTCTGATGGCTTTAGCTGCCAAGGGGCTGCTTTGACGAGAACGTCTGGCCGAAGAGTGACCCTGAAGATCACCGCCAAAGGAACTCGAAGGAAATCCACCAATTGAGGGCTGACGAGAACCAGGCCTAGACCCAGGAATCTCCCCCTTTGCCCAGGGCAATGATTGTCGGCTAGATGGATGATAGCCCTCACTTCCTACATCTGAGCCTTTTCTCCCAACTTCTGACTCTGGGAGGCCGAGCCCATTCTCAGAGCGCGGTAGGAATGTATCATCTTCTTCGTAATTATCAGATCTAGCTCTAACTCTTCTTCCTTCTTCGTCACCAATTCCCTGATCTTCAATCGCCCTCTTACGTTTTTCAGTGGACCCACCTCCCTTCTTAATAGCCTCTAGAATTGCCTCGCCTGAAAACATGCCTTGGAGGAACGGATTTTTTAACTCTCCAAACACACTCCACTTGAAAATAAGAGTGTGGGCGTTCTGCTTAGCAAGTCTGGAAACTTTGGAAGCTCGGGCTTTCTTGAGAGCCGCTGCCATGTTCTCAAGATAGTGCTCAGTCCATAGCGTTACTTCTTTACTCTTGATTTCTAATTTGGTGTCAATTATTAGCCCCTTTGGCAGGGCACGACCACGGCCTTTCTTAGTATTTCCTATTACCGCTTCGCTTCCTGCTGGTTGGGGCTCAGGTTGGACATATCCCATCCCAACTTGTTGAGAGCCTCCGGGCTGGTGAGAAGAATTATTGGAAGTCTGCGCGTCGATAGAGGCATAGGCATCTAGGTCTTGAGAACCCACAGTCTAGAGAACGTAAGTATATCAAATTAGTAGGAGGCTGAGCACTTACAGTTCTGTCGCGGGCTTCTTGGTGTTCCGTCGCCGCAATTCCGGCGAAATCTAGACTATTTAACCTCCCACTTCTCTCTCTACTCCCCGTTCTTGAATCACCCCCGGCATCCGGGAGATGATCTGGAAGCATTGGGGGTAACTGAGGAGACGAAGCTTCTTTCATCCTTCCGTATTGATCAAACTCGAATCCTGGATCATCCAACAGTACTGCGCCGGGGGTTTCGGGGGCGAAGTTTTGATGCGCCTCACCCGATGTGTGAATGGTACGAGACGTAGAACTCAAAGCTGATGAAGCGGGAGGATGGTCACTTCCACCATAGCTAGAAAGGAACGATCCGATCATGGCGGAATTGTCATCTGCTAAACCAAAACCATCTTGGTAAAGCACTCGAATGTCATCTGCCAAGTCGGCATCAAACGCTGGGTCATTCTCGAGAACTAAAGGCCTTGGCCTGGACGAAAACTTTAGTATGATTCCCTTATCTATATATCATTACCTACTTGAGATTCCCGTGAGTCAAATTGATGTCGTCAATAATCGCCCGCGCCTGGGCCGAAGTATGGGTTCGCCTTATGTTGTTAACCGCCTGACTCGTATCAATCAGCATATATCTGCATTGCTCGCCAAAGACCCTATTCCCGCATCTTTGTTAGTTCCAAAATCCATAATGTTGGGTTGTCCAAATGACTATAACCTACCGCGCAACACCGCAAAGAAGATTTGATTGAAATCGTAGTGCCAAGGGTACATCGGGCTCGATGAACGACTGACAGGCCTCAGGTATTTGCACAGCCATAATATCCTTGCGGCTAATTTTGCGATGAACATTTTGTGTGCCAACAGTTGCAGCTAACCTAGAGTTTGTATGAGTATACCCGCTCGGAGGGAGATTGTACGCTTTCATACCAGACAGTCCCCACACCGTAAGGGCGTGAGACAAGATACTCGGGCGAAAAAAACATTTTATTTATTCTTCGGCTGTGCCAGGGGGAGGAAGTGGTTAGAGAGGGAAAAGATCGGGAGAATATCTTCCAGGCTAGCTATTCTCCTAAAGAGGGAGGGGACCAAAGGTGCAGGGAACTGCTTCCGGGAAGAAATAGGATGAGAAGAGAGAAATGGGAGCATTTACCTTTCTCCTTAAGGTCACTGCTGTCGCCGGGGAGGGCACAATTACGTGGGCTCCTCACCAGGTTAGGCAGTTTGTAGGTGTTGGGAGTTATGCACACGACATCACTCGGATGAATGCCAAGACCAACAAAGTATTGCCAAGACGTTCGAGCTGCTATGCTCTTGATCCCGACACAGTTTGGTGCCAATTACAGGCAAAAATTCTTCGTGCCCTCATTTTATAACCCTAAGCCCGAAAAAGCTTTCCCACGACACGGGAATGTACCACTACTATAGCAGATTCCGGCAAATTTGTCTTGAATGCCAATCCCGCCATACTCGAGTATATCTTACATCAACTACCTTCACTATGATCTCAACGATATCTCGGTGCGCTCGAACTCCAGGATGGCAGTTGGCCGCTGCAAATTCAATTCGGACACAACCATTCACTGCAAAGGTATGCAATCAGCGCGAACGATTTATCCTGCTTTGTTTTAACTTGTGATGCATTAAGGCTCCACGTTTCAATGAGAAACCGCTTGAGCAACCCAATGAGCAGTCCAGCGAGCAGTCCAACGAGCGACCCAACGAACGGCCCGGCGGGCCATCCGCCCCCACCATGGTGCGACCGACGCTTCGGCGAATCATGTTACCTCTTGATCGAGCTGGGCGAACAGCGTCGGCGGATGTGATAGCATGCATCAATGAAGAGGAAATGGAGGAAATCCTGTTAGGCCGTACAAGATACCTGTACCGAAAATTCTTCTTCCATGAGTACACAAGACATGTCTGGCTGTATGTCAAGAGGCCGGTTGGAAAGCTCGCTTATGTCGCAGAGATCGGGGGCTGCAGGCGTGTTCCTGAAGAATTGGAGATGTTGCCCTATTACACAAATAAGAGGATGGAAAGCTTGCGTGAGGCTAGGGCTGCCGACAAAATGGGGACGATCAGCCGTGGTGCCGGGGAGGGTGCTGTTGATGGGAGAATCGAGGCTCTTCCCAACATAACCTACTACGCTGGGAATCTCAGGAGGTCTGAGTTACCGGGCCTCCCGAGGTATGCTTTCTTGATACGCAATCTCTGGGAGATAGTGTGGCCTACGCATGGGATTACTTGCGAGGAGCTGTGGGAAAAGGGATTTTTGCAGTCCCCGCCACCTCCGAAATATATCAATGCCCGGGATCGTATGTTGTCGTACCTACCGTTGGCGAAGCAGAGGAAGTTGTTTTGAGGACATAGATTTGGTATCGTGGTACTTGCGGTGGAACCAAATGGGATATGGGGTTGTTTTCAATTGCTTCTTTTTTCTTGATGTATCCGTCGTTAGACCTGTCATTCGGTTTTTAAAAGTTTCGAGGTCATGGCCGAATGTAGAGCAACTTGTAAAATAGAGCGAATCTCCCCTTCCCCACTGGAAATGCGGTCAAAAAAGAACCTTAATATCACACATCGCACAACTGGGCAAACAGTTCTACTGCAAGGGAATTTCTTCCTTCAAGACTACCGGTAATGCTGGAATAACTATTTTTTTGGGGGAAGGGTGAAGGTGGAATGGATGCAATCCACATATGCGGCATATCCCTCCCTCGTTCTTGTAGGATTTAGTCTACCTCAACGCGGAATATGAACTGGATCTTGTCTCGCTAGCATCGACATCGCATGTCGGGATGTGGGGCTTGGATGGTTGGGTGCAGCTGGATTTCAGCCAGGGGTCAGCTCGAGCAAGCGTTGCTGCAGCAACACCAACAACTCACCCGAACACACAACCCTGCGTTTCTCCCCCTCTTCTCCATTGAGCTCTCTCAGCCGTCCCTCTATTAATTTGCGTGATCAACCTTTTGATTTAGTCACCATCCTCTCCTCCGTTCATATTTCTTGAGGTCTCCTAATAACGAGGATCCTAAAGCCCAATCGGTCTATAAGTTCGCTTCTACATAATGGACGTCCCCTCTTCCCCACGTCGCCTCCCTCCTCGAAACCCCACACAATCCTCCTCCTCGCCACCAAAACATACCACCGAGATTTCTCCTTTAGCACCCCCACCACCGCTTCATACCCGCTCCAATAATGAATCATGGGACCCACAGCCATCTTCTGAGGAGTTTACTACCCCTTCATCCTCCCCGTCAAAGGGGAACACAGCACTGGTAGAGGTGTTTGACAGATCCCTCCAGCTCACACCTAGTTCTTCGCCTACAAAACCGCAAGCAGTGCCTTCTAAGAGGATGCTCCAGGCAATTGATGAGGATGGAAACGGAGGTGGCGCGGGTGTCGTGCGAATGGATGGCGAGAAGCCAAGTAGGAAGCACAATAAAGAAAATGCGCCACCTTTCTCCAGGGCAACAGAAGTTTCGCAGCGGGGCAATGCAAGCCCGGGATTACAGAGATCGCATGCCCAGAGCAGACGGACTTATGATCCGTTCAGAGATATGACTATCAACGAGATTGAGAAACTGTCCAAACCGCAGGTTAAAAGGTTGAAGGACGTTGCCCATTTGTGTTAGTACCACCCTAATTGCGTTTCGCATGGATAGGAAATTAATTGCAACCGACGGAACCAGACTTCTATGACTACTATTACAACTTAGTTACCTATGTTCACACACGGCGAAAGCGCACGGAGGACTGGAAAGCCCAGCATGAGAACCTCAGTACCGAAGAGATCAAGCCGGCGTGGTCGCGATTTGCCGGACGGGAACGTGTTGCTCTCCGGAAACGCCGTACAAGACTGCGCAAGGGCGATTTTCAGGTATTGACACAGGTTGGACAGGGTGGTTATGGTCAGGTTTTCCTTGCAGAACACAAGGAGACTAAGGAAGTATGCGCTTTGAAAGTCATGAGCAAGAAACTTCTCTTTAAATTGGATGAAATCAGACACGTCTTGACCGAGCGGGATATCTTGACAGCTGCCAAAAGTGATTGGCTGGTGAAATTGCTCTACGCATTCCAGGATGACGATAGCATCTATCTTGCCATGGTATGTGTGCAACTCCAATCCAATGATTTTACTCAATGTTGACCAAAGAATGACAGGAATACGTTCCTGGTGGTGACTTCCGTACCTTATTAAACAATACCGGTGTCTTGCACTTTAACCATGCCCGTTTCTACATTGCTGAGATGTTCGCCTCAGTCAATGCTCTCCACGACTTGGGTTATATTCATCGTGACTTGAAGCCTGAGAATTTTCTTATCGACTCCTCTGGGCATATTAAATTGACAGACTTTGGACTAAGTGCTGGAAAACTAAGTCCGGACAGAATGGAAAGTATGAAGATGCGGCTCGATCAGGTTAAAGACATGGATATCCCTGAGAGGTCAACAATGGAGAGAAGGAGGGCCTATAAGACGTTGAGGGAAACTGACGTTAACTATGTGAGTTTTTGACATCTCTTGCATAAGCTGTACTTTCTTTTCTTTTCGAATTAAACTAACATCAGAACCTCAGGCAAAATCAGTAGTTGGAAGTCCAGATTATATGGCCCCAGAGGTCTTGAGAGGCACAGAAGAGTATGACTTTACCGTCGACTATTGGTCACTTGGCTGCATGCTTTACGAAGCGTTGGCTGGATATCCGCCATTTGCCGGGGCGACGGTACAAGAAACCTGGCACAACCTCAAGCACTGGAAAAAGGTGTTGCATAAACCCGAGTACGAGAACCCAAATTATTACCTTTCCAAGCGTACCTGGGATCTCATAATTCAGTAAGTCTCCGAAACCAACCAACCTTCCATTCGTGATACTAATGAGGATTGAATGCAATAGTCTTGTTGCATCTCGGGATCAGAGGTTCCAAGACTTCAAATCTGTTCAATCGCACAGCTATTTCTCAGAAGTGAACTGGAGCGATCTCCGTGCAAAAGAACCACCTTTTGTGCCCGAGCTTGACAGTGATAGGGATGCTGGATACTTTGATGATTTCAGTAATGAAGCCGACATGGCCAAATACAAAGAGGTCCATGACAAACAAACTGCACTGGAGAACATGGAGGAGAGGAAGGACTCCATGAGTAAAATCGCATTTGTCGGCTTCACATTCAAGTATAACTCCTTTCTCTAACAGCTGGAGCTGATATATCGGGCTAACAGCTGCCGACAGACACAAGAAGCCGAATCTTGAAGGCCTTGGGGGATATAATAATAAAGGGGACGGACAGTTTGGAACAATTTTCTAAACTGCGAGTGCTGGCGCTCTGTTTATATTCTTTCTGATGCTTGGCTAATGGCTATGATGGGTTTAATGGAGCATTGGAGGCGAATTTTATTTATTCATGCGGTTTAAGGCGAGGATGGGTCACGGATGCTTTTGAGTACAGCACTGCAATGCCTTGTGAGGCATACCCTAATACCCAAGTTCGCAATCATAATACGTTCTATGAGCCTATGATAAATTACCGTATTCCGGACTACTTTTGCTATTGCCCCAGGTTTGCTATACTCGCGCGGCCGGGTTGAAGTTGAACATTTTGTACCGGTATCGGAGTTGCCACCCCAGCTCTCTGACCTCAATCCGGCCGCACGAGTGCTCGTACAATAAAGGTTTCCAAGAATGGTCTACCGTCGGAAATAAGCTTAAATTGATAACGTCGAGACTTTTAGGATGAATATGATGTTCCAAAAAGGTGGGTAGACGGGGGCTCTAGATACGATGATAGCTGTGTCAGAGTACAAGTAAATTACTCGTAGACTATTCCCATGCCATGACCTTTGATCCAAAAAATACTGGTATTCCACTCCCCAATCATTCAATCACTCCTATTATTATTATTATTATTATTATTATTATTATTATTATTATTATTTACAATGTCTTTCAATCTATTTCGCCCTCCCCCCATGACAATTCCCTATCCTCTACATATAACTCCATAACCTACCACGATTTGCTTCACATGGGCGTAAAGGCCTAGATACTCCCATCGCAAATCAGGCCAACTATATTACCCCGAATCCGAACGAATCCGAACGAAAGAGCCTCCCGGGCCGCTACCGGTAAATAAAATGCTTCTCCGCTACCACGACGTACCGGTCCGCGCAGCCGATGTTTGGTATGATACAGTACTGTGCTATAAATTAATTGCTGGGTTGGGCGGGTGGTATGATAGATTCAAGCCGGGATAGGACCAAGGCTGTTGAATCCTGTAGTCTAATGCCTCTATTCCGTGGGGGTGAAGAAGAGTTATTAAGGTCTGGAAGAGGAGAAGTTTATCTTGTTCAAGCGTGCTGTAGGATAAGGGTTTTTTTTTTTTTTTTTTTTTTTCGATGATGGTAAGAACTCGAAGGTCAAAAATGTTAATGTATTATTATACAATATTAACAATACAAATCGTTCACCTGTTCACCCAACTCAAAATGAAATAAAAAGTATTGCAGGAGAAATCAACCAGGATTCAGAATTGAGTGAACTCCAGCCCTGTAGATGGGTATTATTTTAAATCTTTATAACCACTTTTCAATACTGATAGAATAGAGAGAGGAATTGCGGGATATGACGGCCCTTGGTTCTGGTTGGAACCACTTCCGTATCGTAATTTTTCCACGCGAGTAGGGGGTGCTTTAGGCGCTGGTTGGTGGGTTTGAACCTAGGGACGTGGCGGCGTGGATAGGGAAGAGGATTGGGTGGTGAGAGTTCTCGATGCTGGATGTGATAAAATGATGGTGAATGGCGTTTAGGTTTCAAGATGGAGCTTATTGTACTACGTACTGTTTTTTTTAATGAAGAATCATGACGCTACAAGAGCTACATAATTATCAAAATCTATCCACAAGAAATAACCCCCCCCTTTTTTTTGTTCAACGCACCCATCCTCTTTATTTTTTGGTAGTGTCACCGATCACGACCCATCACTCTGCATTTTGGGCGAGTTTGTCTTGGGTGTCTTTTGCACTGATGCCCACCGCAACTTCAACTGTTTCCTGCGGCTTGGCATCACCGTCGGCAACCTTCTTCTCCGCAGTGGTTTTCTTATCCTTGGGAACATATCCGGTTCCAATCTTCTTTTCCTTTTTCTTCTTAATCTTAACCTCATCTGGGTAAGCTAGTTTTGCAACCGTCCTGAATTCCTCGTCCTGTTCAAAGTCCCTCCTAATCGGGGCGAGTAGTTTGTTAAGGGCTTCTTCGACTCCCGTCTTTAGGTCCATCGGGGATAGCTATGATTCTATTAGCCGTGCTTCGATAGCAAACCTCATAGGAATAAGCAAACCTTGTCCTCTTGGTAATCCTTCTTAAGCTCCACGACGGAGGAGTAAGTGACCGGTCCACCCCACCTTTCATCCCTGGGCACGACAAACTTCCCTTCCCCCTTCTCATCCGCCAACTCTGCAATGGGAAAAAGCACATACTCCACGAACGAGATAACCCCATTCCCCTCCACCTCCGAGGGAGCGCAATGCGACTTTCTCAACTTATTCCTGACAACCTCCTCACCATCCAACAAGTCAATCTTGGAATTCGGATCAGAAGCGCTCATCTTGCCTCCAGCCAAGCCGGGGACCATAGGATTCATCAGATGCGCCCTTTCCTTGAACCCGATCCCGGGCAAATTCTCAGCCGCAAGTGTGAATATCTTTCTCTGATCCACGCCGCCAAACTGCGCGTCGACGCCCAAGTGCTCCTCGTCGAGCGCCTGCATGAGCGGGTAAATCAGGCCGCTTAGCAAAGGGCTTGCAACCTGCTTGACCACTTCCGCACCCGCCTTCTTCGCGTCGTGCTCGGTAACGATAGAGCTGAGGCGGAACAAGTCCATAACGTACGCGGCCCCCTTCTGGTACGAGGACCCGAGCACGAAGCGTAGCTTCTCAATCGGGACCCCGATGGCTCGCAAGACGGACTTTATGACTAGTTCGTAGTACTTTGCCCGGTGCGTCACTAGCTCCAGAGGGGCTTTTAGGTTGTCCAGGAATGCGTGGATGTCTGCTAGCAGAACTGTGACTTCGCAGCCTGCGCGCAGGAAGTGAGCGAGCTTCACCATCGGTACGAAGTACCCGCAGTGCGGACGGCCTGTTGGCGCAGTACCCCAGTAGATCTTTAGGGGGCGGTTCTCGGCCAGCACGGATTTAATGATGTTTGGCTTTAGAACTTCTTGTAGGTTACTGGTTATCAGGTCGTATTTTTCGTGTGGGGTGAGGTCAATGGTGGTAGTGGTGGACGCCATTTTGACGATGGGCTTGTTTGTTTTCGTTTTATGGGGTAGATGGTCTGATCGTGAGAGGGGCGCAAACGGGTGGGTAGCCAGGAGTTTGAAGAGAAGCAAGCGAGTGCGAGGGGTGGGTTGGGTTGGGTCGGTTTTTGGTGTTTGAGGTTCAATTTGACCCCGCATGAGTCAGCATGTCCCCCTCCCGCGTCATCTTTCCTCACTCGATACAACACAGGCAGAAGTACACTTTAATTGTGTTGGAAGATCGCATCCAATCGCAGGAAGAGCAAGGTCCTGTTTGGCATGTCAGAAAAACTCAGCTTTTCCTCAGTTTTTCTGAATGTAAATGCAAGAAAAACAGTTCTTCTGACTTGCCAAACAGGGCCTAAATTGTTTTATGCTACAATGAAAACAGCACTGGCGACCCTGTTATCACCTCAGCTAATTCTTATCCGGAGAGACCAAGAGATTAAATCATATATCAATTGCTAAAAGCACCACTCTATGCAAGATTCCAGAGCCCACGCATCAGGGAAAGATTGATTTGTAATGGAATACGGAAAAAAACTGCACTCCCGTTCTCACGACCTCCATCTATTCCTCGTAGAATTTTCAGCCGTAAGCGCCAAGCTTAGGTGGTGGTGTTGGTGGCTTTTTTCGCAATTTCGCTCATAACAGGATTTTCTTTCTCCTGCTTCTTCAAGCTCTGATAGTGTCTACTCAAACCATCAGCTTCCATAATCACCCACCTAAACTCGCCGAATACTCACAGCCCAATACGCCCCAATTGGACGCTCCCGACACCGGCCAAAAAGAAGTTAACAGCGGCCAACCTGTTTATAATTAGCGGCTATTTTGTAATTTATATCCCGGGGTGAAAGAAGTAGACAGACGGGATGTTCTTCGGGTGGATTATTAGACACCATCTAGTCCAAATAGATCCTGTGCAGAAGAGAGCGACGTTCTGAGTGACGGAAAGAGATTCGACGGGACGATAGAAGTCGCTGGCCCCAGCAATGACAAGACCCCACTAGTTTCTCATTAATTCAATTAGGTAAAGGCCCCGGGAGCACGAGGTGATACCTTGAGGATAGGAGCCTATGCATCACACAATATATTAGCTGACGAAACTTGCAACAATAGAAGGGGCCGCCAAAGGAAGTCAAGAAAGAAATACCCAAAAATGGACAGTTCTCGGGTTGAAAGCTGGGTTCAGCACTTTCGCTGCTTGGGCTGGTGCTTGAGCGGCCATGTTGATTGTTATTTGTCGGGGGGTTTGATTCCGCTGCGGTTGAAATTGTCAACTCTGTGTCTCGCTCGGTTTGTTCCCGAACCTTGGCCACTGATCTTCCCGGGTAAAGATAAGATCTTGGACTTGATGACTCAGCGAGATAAATTGCGCGGGCCGCCACAAACTCCAATTCACCGGATAAAACCATCAATTCCGAACAACCACTGCAACACCATGGCTGCACGACTCGCATTTGGAAATTCACTGAAGGAACTGCGCTTCCTGTTCTGTCAGACGGGGGAAGGGAGCGCTGCTGTTAGGTTTGTTTGAACTTTTCGAAACGGATGGGTAGGGGGAATGGGAGCTGATGAGGTGGGGTAGAGCGTTCGTACGGAAGTCGTACCCGCTTATGAAGAAACATAATCCTCATACGCCGATATTGATTCGTGAGGCTTTGGGTACTCCTCCAAGGGTATTCGCGAGATACGGTGTGTACCCCTGCCGAACCGAGGAGTGAGGAAGTTAGTATGGAAGGCTCACGAACATGTAGAATTCGGTAAAGAGAAGCAAGAGAGTCTGGCCGGTTTGTTGCACTCCCGTCTACGGTTATGGAGGTAAGGGCTAATACAACAGCCATAGGATTGTCGGACAAGGAGATCGAAGCAAAGGTTTCAGCACTTGTCGAGGGCACTGCTTAGCGTTGGGGATGGGGAAATATAATAGTATTGTACAAATGGTGTCAAGCCTGACTTGGAGTATCTATATACTCGGAACATGCAGCAGATTATGCCGCATGATATGACGCTCTGCGAGAAAACTAACTTTGAACTTCGCCAAACCGATAATGCGCCCAGCTCATACTCATCTCTGGTAATGTCCACAACTGAACCGCTTTATCATCTCCAGCAGCCCCAGAAGCGATATGCACGGGGAGCAAGTGCTCGAAGGTGGGGTGCGCCCTTCTGGCATCACTCCTATGGAGAAGTTCTGCCAGTTTTGTCTTGCGTTCCTCGCCCGAGTTGACATTTGTCACTGCCTCTTTTATTGCTTCGTTGAAAGGAATAATGTAATCCGGCAGCGTACCGGACATGGCCGCGGATCGGAGGTCACTGAGTCCGTCATTAGAATTGGGGGGAAAGCCGGAGTAAAGGAGCACACTACCGGAGATTATGAACTGCCATCCCAGATCCAATAATAACCACCCCTTCGTCCCGGAGTTTGGAAACCGCCCTTCCGAGGGCATAATGCATATTAGGATCCTCCTGACCAAACAACGAAACCTGCACCAAAGGAACTCCCAGCGGATTCTCCTCCGGTCCAAACACTACCGGGGTCAGTCAGCCGAACCACTATCATACTTTCCCGTTGTGTCCGGATCGAGATCGGGAGAGTACTATACATACTACAGGTAAACGGAGCAAAAACCCCATGATCAAGCCCCCGCTTCACCCCCCCACTCTCAATTCCGGCCTCCTTAAGCAACCCCAAAACCTTCTCTGCAAGCTCCTGAGACCCCACGTTCGGATACTTTTGCTTGTAGTAATGATCCGGAAAGCCATGGAAATCGTATACCAAATCTATGAACTCCGCGGTATTGACCTCAACCTTGCTCCCCGCTGCCGCCGCCGCTTGCCAATGGGCCGAGAAAACCACGACAGCCTTCGGTTTGACCTTTGTAGTGATTTCCTTCCCAATCTTTTGAAATTGGTGGAAGGCTGGGTGCTCGACTTCGTACATTATGTTGGGCTTCTCCCCCATAAACAAACAGAGAGTTAGCAAGAGTAAATATGTAATAACATAACATATTTTGGAATGGGTGGGCAACGAACACCTCCGTGAGAAACAAAGTATACGGGTGTACGCCCCGTAGCAGCGGTGGTTGCGGATGCAGGGGCAGCCATGGTATCTTTTCTAGTAGCACAAGATGAAGTGGCTCTAGAGATCTTTCGCAGAGTGCGTTGCGCCAGGTTTGGTCGTGTTGCCATAACGAGTAGAGTATATGATATCGACCGGAGTAGTAAGTATGATAATAGGAGGGGGGACAGGGTCGGAATGGAATTTCGAAATATGAGGAAGGGTTTTTGGAAGGTTTTATGGTGGCAAATATAGGAGTGTAGGATGTTTGTTCTTCGCACTTGTCGGCGGGGTCGATACCCGTAGGAGCACAATTAGCGTAAGAATCTCGAATGAATGCTAACTTCCTCTGGTAAGGTCTGGTATTATTATCATTTCTAATGCCTTTCGGGGGGGGGCTGACCTGCACATCTTTTTGCTACACTCTTCGCCCCCCTTCTAAAGAGGGGGGGGGGATCAAGGAAGGGAGGAAGGATATTTTGGATTACGATAATCTACCTGGTACAAGGTCCCAATGATACCAGGTTTCGTCTTGAAAGTATCATAGTGGGTTTCACGTGATGTATAAGTTGCATCTTACGAATCTTGTTGTGGGAAGTTAGTAATTCACTGTTGAGGTCTGATTGGGTTTGTAAGCCAGACTATTGTACAATACTGGTATCATACGAGGTTGGGGGCCAAAATGACGAGCACCGTTATCATAAGGGGTTTTTATTTTTTTATTATCATATTAAAAACAGCCATATTCATGACCTTCCAACTGCTGATCCGGTGAAAGCAATCCAAAGCTACTCGTAAAATCTTCCCTCTATATACGAAATACCCCCCCCCCCTGAATTTCATTTTCCGGCACTTTAGAACATTGTATCATAGGCAGACTAGCTGGGAGAGCGGTCGAGCAGGCTATGGTGTGTAACTGTACTGCACTGTACTGTGCTTGTAGGTTCCATTATATACCCTTCTCACATCATTGGGACTTGTAAACAGACATTATTTACGAACTCGAACCTAATGAGCCAGATCGCCGTAATATCATGTTATAAAACTAAGGTCTGTAGATTCTAAACTTCAAAAAGTTAAACCGATGCAGAAACACCATAAATGAAAAATGCAAAACAAAGGAAATCCCATGTCCAACTGTCCAAACGACTATATATACAACATGACGAGGAGCCATCACGAAGTTCCTTCCCTACCTCCAGCCGAATCTCTCCAATCTCTAACCAGACTAGGCACTAAAGTATTGAACAAAAAGAGACGCCCCGGTATCACAAAACACAAAGTAAAAGTACCCTCCCGCATCCTTCGCCGTGAATTTAGCAGTATGATATCACGTTTGATTGGAGATGGACCTCTTCCCAAGAGCACCCTCTAGTTCCCCCTCGCCTTCGAATCCCATTCTGAGCGCTGCATCGGCCGGCGCTATGCAGGCTACGGATGCGCCGGTTGATTGCTCCAATGGGAGAGCGAAGCATTCCAATGGCGCTGCGCAGTCGACTACCTTGGCGTACTTGCCGTCGCCGCCGCAGGTGTGGAAGTCACCGGCGATGCAAGCGTGGAGTTGGGCGGGGTTCTTGGGATCGCAAGGAGAGCTGGTGGTCAGAGCTGCAAACTTCTTGTTCAGGGCAATGGCGAGGGCGGTGTTGTTGTTGTTTGCGGATGATGGGGGTTGGGTGCTAGAGGGTGGTCGGCTTGCTGGTTGAGAGGTGGTTGGAGCGGCAGAAGTAGTCGAGACAGCAGAAGTAGTAGGAGTGGTAGGCGGAGGAGGCTGGGCGGATGCGGTCACAGTAACAGTAGCAGTAACAGTGGCAGGTGGGCTAGGCTTCTCATCGGATGAGCTTGGAGGCTGAGGCTGAGGCTGGGTTGGGCGAACGAACCTGCGACTACTGGTGAAAGTCGATGAACCAGAGGAGACCGGCACAGATGAATCCGGAGCAGAAGTAGCCCCGGAGGAGACTGGCACAGACGAACCTGGTGCAGGAGAGGCCGAAGCAGACGGGACTGGAGTCCCCTGACTCGGCCCCGGTGTATCTTTCGGCGGTCTCCTGAAGCTCCTAGTTCCTGGCACACTTGTAGTTGTGCTCACGAGAGAACTCGATGATGCCGAAGTTGTCCTAGTGCCCACGGGGAGTCTCAGGGAGGACGAAGGTTCAGCGATGGAAGCGGAAGACGGCACGCTAGTTGCGGGTGGCTTTGATGCTACAATACGACTGAAGGATTTGGTGGTTGTTGGTGGCTGGTTGCTAAGTAGCGAGAAGTCCTCACGGGGTTTTCTAACACCTGTCAGAACTTGTCCCAAAGAGTTAATGCATTGAACAGAGGTACAGTACTCACAATGCAGGATTATTCTGAAGAGGCCCAGCTACAGCTGCACGCAGTTGTAACACTATTAAAAAAACCGAAGCAATAGCAACCTTCATAATGGACCGAAAAGGAAAAAAAAAAATGAAAAAAATGAAGAAAGGAAAAAAAGAGGAATGATAATCTCAAGAAGAGGAACAAGAAATCTGACGATAGTGAAATACCCAGCGAGACCGATACCGAAGGAGCATAAATACCGGCATTCGAGGGAAATCCAGCGGATATATATATAAATCCCCAAAACAATTCCTATTTATTCCCCCCAAGATCTAGAGCGACCCCATATCGCAAGCGTATCATCACGCCCCGCCGTCTTTTACAATAATCTCCAGTCGTCACTCGCAAACCCCCCACCCGTTGAAACTTTTTTCCCCCGCGTGGCGTTCAATAATAGTTAATTTCCGACAGGAAGGTACCCGATTGGACGGTTCAAAGCAGGTTAACCGCGCGGTGCTGAAACGAGAACCTACTCGAGTACTGTACTAGTAGACATCGTTACACCTATTTTTGCCCTTCCTTCCCAAACAAGGGGAAATGGTGCGAGTGCGATAAATTAAATTAATTTCGCCCAAACAGAGTAAAATAAATTTTCAAAAGCGTATCGTATGGGGAAGGATCGGGTAGCGCGGATACCGGTACTGGGTTGGTTTGAGTTTTGGTGTGAGTTTGTCTTGGGGGGGGGTCTAATTTTGATGCTCTTCCTGGAGGGAGAAGTCCCTTTCCCCGGTTGTGGCGGTGGTAGATTGCTCTGTGCCTGTCGCCTGGCTCTATCGACTGGAAATGGGGGCAAGATCTTGGATACAGTCGTGCCTCGTCATCGGTTAAGCATCCGAGCAACTGTATCAGAACTGTATGAGCACGAACTTGGCGACAAAAGAAACTGACTCCCATCTAGATTTGCATACTTGTGCAAAATGCACAAGCCTAGCAGTTTAGTCAGCCACCGCAAAGGTACAAAACAAGACTTCCTCCCCCAAGGAGCAGTCCGGTGGAAGTGGATCGCAGAGAGTTTGACTTATAGGGTTGCGATTTTTTTCTCCCTGTTCTGCTGAATACTTGCCGTGACTGATTGAAGCATGGTTCCCATGTGGAATGCCCATTCAAATTTACCCGTTGTGGCAGTGTTTTCGGTCTTGCCCTTTAGAGCTCTAGAGTTCTAGCACTCAGAATTTTTGGAGTGGTTTTTTTTTTAAAATGGCCTTCAACTATGTGACTTCCCATGTCGGGGCGCTATCTAAAATATTCGCTTGATTTTTCCAAGGTTATAGTGGTATCGTGAGAATAGGAGCCGTCGGGAATGCGCACTGTATAATAATTATTATCGTGATACCGAAAACGGTTTCTATTGTCGCCTCATACAGTGCGTCCCAGCAACGCACCACGGTATCTGGTCCCAGCAGGGCACACCAAGGCCGCCATTAAGCGT